TGCATCACAGCAACATAAGCAGCCTGCGAAAACACACAACCAATACATAAATTAACTATAAGGTCACCATTCGAGTTTCAAAGGCATAAATGGGTATATAAGAAGAAACAAACCCTTCTAAGGTCAGGAGGCAGAAGCGAGGTGTTCCTATCAGCCAAGAATGCATCAAATCTTCGGACTGCTTCCTTTAGTGTCTCATCATGCCCAAAGACAGCAAGTGCAGTTAAAACTTCCCCTCTCAGCATAGCATCTAGATGACTCTCCCCTTGTTTTGGGTCCCAACCAAGTTTCCTGTATGAACAATGAACATCGGTTTTCTTCTTCTTTTTTTTGCTGGGAAATAGCACATAAAGTTAACTACGTGGGTAAAACAACTTACCCAGCAGCAAACTGGAAAACGCCAATGAAAAAGTGCTTAATGGCAGACATCAGTTCTAGATTTGCATCTGCTCCAATCTTCACAACCTTGTAGCTTATCTGTATGGAGGAAGAGTAAGAGCCAGAGGCGAAAACATGATTATGAACCAGGGAAAATTAGAGACAAAAAGGGTAGATCCTTACAACAATGAGGTTTGACAGAACGGTATAGTCAAGTTCCTTCTTGTAAGCACTAATCAAAGTGAGCAAAGAGGCCAGGGATTGCTGACGAGCCATAGAAAGTGCAAAAGAATCATCCAAAATACCTGTAAAAGATAACGTAGGATTATTTCATCTCCAAAGAAAATCCATTTATTTCTTTGAACCAGAGAACAAAACTCTGCATGTTTAAATTACCGTATCTATCGATAGAGGTCAAGCTTTTGCTCTCTGTTGCACTTCTGAGTCCAGCCGCAAGGCTATCATCGTATTTCACCCTATAGAATCCAGCCTGATCGACATTGATTTTTATCCAAGAGCATGTCGCATTGTTTTTGCCACTACCATCGGTAATGGAGCAGCCCAATAATTCCTTGAGATCATATGCTCCAGATTTGGATTCTAATAAGAAGTTTTTGCGCGTGTCATATGAACCACAGCACAAGGTTACTGGCACAATCCACTGTCCTTCCCCAGGAGAACCGCTTGACAAGAAACGAGACTGTAATTATAAAATTTTAGTTAGTTGATCATACCGTAATGAACCTCCAACCTTAGTGGCATATAAAAAAGGGGTATAAGCAGGACATCCAGCAAGGGAAATAAGTCTTAAGTACCTGCTCAAGTTCCAATTTTCCATCTTTAATTTTGGCTGAGACAACAGGATATCCTTTTTGTTTTGTCCAAGAGCTCATAAGCTTGTTCACAGGTTCTCCTGATCCCCCTTCCAAGGCAGTCCATAAGTCTTCCGTCTTTGCGTTTGAGTACGCGTGATTTTTAATGTATGCAGCAAGCGACTTCTGCTCACCAAAGCCAAACAAGCAGAGTAAGAAGTTTTGGAGACATGAGTGCAACAGTCCTATAAATTCCTTTTCTAACAGAAGAAAATGGACATGAGCAGAACCTGAAAAACTTCAGCACCAAGATAGCTTTGTAGCATGCGGATGACAGATGCACCCTTCCTGTAGCTTATTGCATCAAATATTTCGTCAATTTCAGCAGCATGATTAACCTCCACCTGATGAAATTTCCGGAGTTATGATAAATAGGGAAAAAGGTATCTCTGGGATTCATAGTGAAAGGAAAGAAGGCACTAAGCTTTCACGACACATGTATTGACACTATTTTCCAGAATTGTGCCCCACTTAATAACAGGGATACTTATTTTGGTTACCTCTATCGGGTGGGACTCCTCAAGGCCATCTAGCCTTAGACCCTCAGTAGATTCATCTAAAAACTGGGTCCAGATTTTCCATTCAGGGAACAAACTATCAGTAGCCAAGTAACTGACCTGAAACAGATAAAGAGCAACATTCACAACAAAACTCAATATCATTGTCAATACAAATACCTAGATTTGCAATGTACCCAAGTGGCAAAACCCTCGTTTAGCCATAGATGAGTCCACCACTCCATAGTAACAAGATTGCCAAACCACTGGTGGGCCAGCTCATGGGCAACTACAGTGGCAACCTAACAGCACAGATTAACTGCTTTAGATAATTGCACAAAATCGCACAAGACAATTTCCTGTAGAGAATATAAGAACATGTTTGCAGTACCCTCTGTTTGTTAGAAGCTGCAGAATGTTGCTCATCGTAGAGAAGAGCTGTTTCACGGTATGTAACTAAACCATAATTCTCCATAGCTCCAGCAGCAAAATCTGGAATCGCAATCATATCCATTTTGGGAAGGGGGTATGGCACAGCAAAGTACCTACAAGAATGAATGATACAGGCCTAAATGTATAAGCGTATGGTACATGCAAAAATATGCATGCACATAAAGTTTCAAAAGTCGAGGAAGGACTTACTCTTTGAACAGATCCAAAGTCTTGGCACCAACATGCAATGCAAATTTCCCTTGGTCGGCTTTGCCCACTTGACAGTATACTCTGACTTTGACTCCTGAGCAAAATATGACACTTGATTTAGAGCTTTGACTTAGAGGGAGATAATAACGAATAAAATGACTTTTACCATCGGATGTATGATCTTCCACGTAGTCGAACAAACCAACAACAATTGCTACCAAATACGTAGACATAATAGGTGACTCTTGATAGGAGACAGTCTTCAGACTCCCATTAACTTTCTCCTCCACGACGGGCATATTGGAGAGAGCCACTAATTCGGTTGGAACCTCAAGTGTAATCTTGAAGGTAGCCTGTTTGCACAATGTGTCAATATGGATTGATAAAGACAAAAGAAAAACAAAATGCTCACTGTGATACCCCCATGCTGATATAAGATGAGTCAAAGAGAGAAAAAAAAAATCAGGTGGAAAACCTTGCAAGCAGGTTCATCCCAGCAAGGGAAGCATCTCCTAGCATCAGCTGGTTCAAACTGAGTAACTGCCATATTCTTCTTTTCACCATTATGTTCATAAGTACTGCACCAAGTAGTAAACAAAGACGGCTTGAGAATTCATCCCAATCTATGTAAAATTTCTCACTTTTAAAAATCTGATGCTTTACCTTCTGTAGAATCCCTTCATTTTGTCATTTAGTACACCATTGAATCCCAGTTGGAGAACGCCCACTCCATGGGGAAGAATCTCACCAAACTCGAGCACCAGGATCTCATCTTCTTCAAAGAGGGCAACTTTTGGAGCTGCAAGCGCCTGCTTAACAAAAGGTAATGCATTTGATGAACACAAATCCTTTGTTTCTCGGAAACGAAACATACGAAGCAACAAGATAAACTATTGCTGGTTCTAACGTCTGCACAAATACAATTTTTGTTGTCCTACTTCCGAAGATGCAATTCAGTCGAATCCGGAGAAGACGGACAGCTTTCTAAAGCGAAAATCGACAAGTTAATCATGAATATATCGACCAAAGCATCAAAACCCCCACATATCTCCTAATCACATTATCGGAATTCACATCATCCTAACAAGAAGAAAAAGGAACACCATGGAGATAGTGGATCGGAAACGGTGGAAGTACCTCAGAGGAAGAATGGGGAGTGAAGGAAACGGAGGCATCTTTGACTGAGAGATCAGCTGCGTTGAGGACGATGAAACGAGTATCGGTTACTATATCTAGATCGATGGAAACGGTTCCGGTGAAGGTGCAGGCGATGAGATCGGGATTGAGGTGGAGATCGTAGCGCTTAGGGACGGCGAACTTGGGGAGACGAGGCTGACCTTTGAACTGATCCATTTTGTGCAAATGATGATTTTCTTATTTTCTCTCTCGGATCCTTTATATATATATATATCGAAATGAAAATAAATAAATAAAGGTTTATTGCAGTTACAGGAGCAAAGTGTTTTATGGTACGTCACGCAAAATGATGTCGACCATCACAAGTGATTCCCTTTGTATGATGTTTGTAACTTGCAAGTAAAAAGCTTATGAGACCCAAGTGTACTTTTTCCAAACAGCTAAACATAATTTATTTCTGGGTAACTATTATAATTCGATGTAAAGTTTATATTCTAGATATCACTATCACTTCCAATTTTCTTTTTAGAATGAAAGTGAAATATTGGACTTGTAAGACTAATCTTGGTTTATTGTGACTTCATCTTTTGCTTCCTAGCTTTTAACTGTCAACACGATTTATAGCACTACAATTCTCGTTGGTCTATAGAAATTATTATCCACTGAACCCCAAAATCCCACTGGCCCTAAACAGTCTGGGCTCGATCTGAGAGTGGGCTTAACCGCGAAATATCGGGTTTAACCGTGGGTGATTTATCAGAACGACGGCGTTTTTAGCCTAGGGTTTTTTGTCTAGCGGCAAAACGGCGTCGGTTGCATTTTGCCACTCTCTCCTCCGAAGCTTCTTCGTTGTCGACGTCTCTGGGTCGGGTGCTTGACTTTACGGGTTCTGGGTCTGATACAGAGATTTCAACGAGGGAAGGAACGCTCACAATCTCGTGGAATCTGAGGTTTACGGGTTTACCGACCGCGATATAATTTTCGGACATCTTCTTTTTCCGGTCTGATCAAATTTTGTCTTCCTTCTCCGATCCGATCAGGGTAAATTTCAATATTTTATAAACATTTCTGGCTCTGGGTATTAAAATTCTTTTATCAAAGCTTCAAATTTTGATGCTTTGTACTGTTTGGATTTTCGTCCTGTTTTATCTCTATTTGGTTTCTGTTTGTATACTCTATATAGACAACACACATGTTTGATCTCTTCATTTGATTAATTACATTTCACGGAGGAAATTCACAAGAATTTGACCCCCAAAAAAGTGCAAGGAGCATGCTTTTTTTTTGTTGTGGTCTAGAATTTTGAAGGCTTTCTCTGTTTGGTGGTGGCTCTTGTCGATAATCTTTTAGCGTTTTTTGTGTTACATTCTTGTTCTGATTGTTTACATCTCTTGGGATTGATATAAGTTTCTCAATGAATTATAGGTGGATTTTCTAAAATCGCTAAGCTGACAAATTATTAGTGATTGCGACGATGGGCTTGCTGAAGAAAAAGGAACCAACTTCTGCTCGCTCCTCTACTTCGCCCTGCGCTGATTTGCGAAACGCTTACCACAACTGCTTCAATAAGTGAGTTTCGTTTCTCCTTTGAGAGATTAGCTAGTGTTTAAGGGTTTAAGCTATGGTACTTCCCTTTGTATGAATACATGTGTTGCTGTAAATACCTTTTTGGCCTAAAAGTTGCATCCTTTACCTGATTTTTCTGCAGATGGTATTCGGATAAGTTTGTGAAAGGGCAATGGGATAAAGAGGAGTGTGTTGCCGAGTGGAAAAAGTACAGAGAATGTCTCTCGGTAACTCATTGACCCTACTTCTCTTCAGCTCTGTTCATGTTGTATGTGTGATCCTAATCAATTTCCCTTTTTCTGAGTTTTGTTTTTTCGGTTTTCATGTATTTCAAACAGGAGCATTTAGATGGTAAGCTCCTCACTCGCATTTTGGAGGTCGATGGTGAGCTAAATCCTACTACAAAGCAAGCTGATTTAAAAGAATCTAGTTGATGATGATACTTGACCCTTTATGTTACCATTGTCTCTTTGTAACAGATTGATATATCCATTGAGTAACTTTTTTGATAGGAAACCATAGGAATTATTTTTACTTAGGAAGGCAATCAATGTAGAAGGAGAATACAACCATCCAAAAATAAACCACAAACTGATTATTCAGAGAAGGAAGATAATATTCATTTCGATAATTTCTTCTGGAAAATAAAGTGTGCAACTATCCAAAGTTACGACAAAGTACTTAGAAATGCAATCAAAGTAGAATGAGAATGTTGTACTGAACAAGTTGAAAAATAAACCACATAGTGATTGAATCATTCAGAGAAGAAAAAATAATATTCACTTCGATCATTTCTTCTTGAAAAGGAAGTGTGCAACCATCCACTCTTCTCCATTGTTGTATCCAAAAAGCTCAGCAACAGCAATGAAGAAGGTTCTCCAGTAGACCATCCACTTCACTGCTTCCTCTTTCCCATAAGTCATTTCCATTATCTCTTTTACTGCAACTATCTCCTTATCCATTCGTTTGAGCCACTCTTCACTGCAAAAAAAGTTGTATTATTATTAAGTAACAAACATCACAAGATGATATTATCTTCTTCTTGCTTGTTATCATCAAAAGAGTTTTTACCTGGTATTTGAATAATGCTTCCCGTTTAGGAGCCAATGATCCACAATCGAAACATTTTCCTGAAGATATAAATGATAATATATGTTTGAATTGATTATAGTCTAGTGAAACAAACATTGTTTTTAAGTGTTAATATATATTACTTGGAAATAGAGGAGGAGATCCGCAGATGGCATTGTTCCTCCGCTGAAGAAGTATCTTGTGATCCAGTCATCGTCATTCACATCCTATAGTGAATCAACATAGTCCTCAAGATTGCATTATTGCCAAGAGAAAATGGTGAAACTGATTGATTAATCAAATTTGGCATTGATGTGTATACCTCAAAGTGGTAAGCAAATGTCTTATGGCAGAAATAGTGAACAAACAGAAGACTATCTTCTTTCATCCAACTTCCTATTTTCTTCAGAAGCTCTCCATAGTTTTTCATATGCTATGATACAACAACAACAAAAAACCTCTTTATCTTGGAGAAAATGCATCTCAGTCAAACATACAATAAAATGCTTTATCTTTACCTCAAACATTTCGATGGAGAATACTCGATCGTATGTCCCTTCATGCTCAAAAGTGCTAATATCCCCAACCATTATTTCGATATTTTTAATCCCGAGTTTCCTTTAAAACATGATAAGTTTTTTTAAAAAACAATGAATGATTAGAGTCTACTTATTATTATGTAATAAAACTTGAAGCTTGCGATGTAATGAGGAAATTAATTACCGGCATTGCTCATCAATGAAAGCTTTCTGTGTTTTGGAGTTGCAGAGACCGGTTAACTTGCAATTGCTAAACTTGCGGGCAATGTACAAAGACAAAGACCCCCAACCACATCCGACATCAAGAACACTGTGTCCATCTTCCACTTTAGCCCTTTCACAGTATAGAGCCAACATTGCTTCTTCTGCATCTTCCAAGCTACTTGAATCGTTTGAGAAATAACAAGAGCTGTATTTCATGTTTCTTCCAAGAACAAGTTCGAAGAAAGCCGTTGGTAACTCATAGTGTTGAGTCTTTGGCTTCTCGGTATTGATAGCTATAGGCATCTCCTTTATAGCTGAAACATATATATATCATCCATAAGAGATTATTAATTCTAAACAACTTTTCTGACCAAAAAAAAAATGAAAATGTTATATTTCTTCAAATGTACAAATTTTTACAACAACAAGGTGCAAAAATCTATCGTGAACAAAACTATTATATAATTAAGACCTTGAATTAGTCTTATGTCCTTAAACCCCGGAGATCCAATTAACAAAATCAAACTGACGACAAGTACAAATTCTAATTAAAAAAAGATTTAATAAAAAGACGAAATGCTCGTGTTCGCGGATCTCTCAACAATAACATCCAAACTAGAAAGATATAACAACTTCTAATTGAAAAGATTTAATAAAAATACGAAATGCTCGTGTTCCCTTTACATTTCTTTTTGATAACTAAAGGAAAACTCAAACACATGAAACAAAATTAATTACTAAACAACTGCATAGTAAACGTGGGCCACTAAAATCGTCTTAGCACAAGACGAAGCGAAACCCCAAAAGCAAAATCGTAATCGTACTCTTCTGTCACAACATAGACTTCAGTTTCACAACCACTCAATCAACAAAAGGAATATAATTAAAAATTCCATGTAATAAAAAGAAAGAAGCGAACACAATAGATGCAATTAGGTATGTCACTTACAGTTGACAAAACGGACGAGATCGGAGAGTTGCAGCTCCGCCGTGGGTTTGTAACCGGACCGGAGTCTACCGGCGAGAAGCAGTCGCGTCAGCCGCCTTATGACAACATCCGGCAACAGATTCTTCTCCAGCAACGTCAAAGCTGTCTTCACGGATGCGGCATAAGCTACCTCAACAATTTTCTCCATCTCTCTCTCTCTCTCTCTTTTCTTTCGTCTGTTAGACTTTTTTTTCTCTCGTTACGATCTTAAATAGACACGGCTTTTCATTTCTTATTTCACATCCCACGACGCATTGTTATTTGGAAACGTGAATTGATTGCTACCAAAAGATTCCCTTGCACAGTTTTAGCAATTCTATTCGTATATTTCAAGATTTTCATATTATCTTTCCTTACCTTCTTATATTTGTCCGTATTTAATCAGATATCTCACTAGTTGTCAAAAAAAAAAAATCAGATATCTCACCAAGCAAAAATTGACCACAGCTGTATATAAAACTAGTATTTTATCCGTACTAAGTACGGGACGACCGTCCGCCCTAAAACATATTTCCAATATATATTTTTTGATAAATTTGCGATACAACTATGTAGAATTCTTCTCGTTTGGACTCCAAATATTTTTGCACAATTCCAACTTCATTAAAGCATACTACAAAGTACTCTACAGAAATATTATTATTTAACAACAATGAAATATGATTTTTTGGGTTAAATATTAGATTTCCTATAAAATAAAACAAAAGAATTTTGATCTAGTTTCTCTAGTTATCCATAACTTTAAAACATGTTGATTTCGTAACCAAGAAAATATATTCTTGCTATTCAAGTAGCTTTTCAACTGAAATCACATTGTGTAACATTACTATCAGAAAAAAAAAGGAAAAGCTTTGAATGATTTGTAGGTGTTATCGCACCATCAAATGGATTTTTAAATTTTATTTTTGATAAAAAAGTTAGCAATGTACATACGTACCTATAATTCCACGTATGATCAATTGCTTATACTTTTTTTTCTTCGTTCATGATTTCCATTATATAAAGTTGTTGATATTCTTTTTCCTCAAAAGTGTGTTAGGTTCTTTGTTGTCTTTTCACATCTTTTAAAATCTGCATCACATCAATATTTGTTAGCCATGACTATGAGATACGATTTATTGGCTACAAAAATAAAATTGAGATTTTTTAAGTATAACATAAGAGACAGAAAAGAACTAAGAATACCATTTGTTTTCAGATTATGTTCGGTTCTGCTCTTGTATGTTGCAGAGAACGCTATTTCATTTTGTTTTGTTTGTAGTTTGGTATTTCTTGCATGCGACTGAGGCTTGATAAACAGAAGTCGTAGTAGAATGAGTAGACAAAAGAGTGAGATCCAAAGTAATTGAGAAAGAGAAAAATTAAAAATATATGATATGAGTTACCAATTTTATCTTGAAGAAGAACTGTTGTATATCGGCATCGAGATTGTGGATTTGAATAGGAGAGAAAATGTTTTGTTTTCGTGTGGACGCACAAATATAAGTAATGGAATAGAGTTAGTTATACAAAGAGTGTTACTGACTGGTGATCATAGAGGTGTTGAAAAAGAACTGTTGCTAAACATGTCATTTTGAGTTTTTCTATTTTCATTTTTGTAATAAAAATCATAAATAATGAACTTTTTGTAAAAATATAAAACTAAAAGAAAATTGATTTAAAAAATAAAAAGACACTTGTCAAACTCAGAATTAACAACTGACTTCTGCTTTATAGATATAAAGATTATGAATGTGTTATATGATGGTGGTAGTTCCTTTCTCTTTTGTCGTGACCGTCACTCTTGGATCTGGTTCACTCTTATACTTTAAGATATTCATAGTGTAGATAGATAATTCTGGTTTTGGATCTGGTTCACTCTTTAACTTTAAGATATTAATAGTGGATAAATATGATATTCTACTTATTTAGAGTAATTAATTATAATAAAAAAAAAATGTAAAGAACATACACTTAGTGATGATAAGCCTACCACACAATGCATTCTATGTATAAATACAGAATATGAGCTTCTCATTGCTGCTGCTGCAGGGCATAACCTTACCCCACCTTTAAATTTATCGGATATCACCATATTTGCTAAACAAATCTAGAGCAGAGCTGCACTAGAAGAAGAGCTGTGAATTCTTTCAACGATTTCAGAATTCTTGATGTTGAGATGCTCAGGGACCAGCTCGGTGCGATTCTATCACCAGAGCGATCAAGAAACTTACAAGACTCTTTGACGTTTTCGAAAGATTTTTGCTCATGGACTTTACAGCAATGGCAAAGATCAAATCATCTGACTTTGCTTCTTCATTCTACTTGTAAAGCTTCATTATCTACAGAAGCCACTTGTTTACTCTCTCTTTTCCTTGTCACCTGTGAACACATAAGGAACAATCTGTCAAGACGCCTACTACAACCAATGCATCCAAAAAAACAAAAATTAATAATAACCTTGGAACAGAGGAGTCATACCAACTTGTTAGGGAAACTCTGTGGATTAGTGAACTTTGAAGGTGCAGAGTAATGAGACTTCTTTTGTAGAATCTCAGTGAGACGACGCTCGTTCTTCTCTTGCCTCAGTAAATATCTCAAGGAAACTGATTCTTGTTCAAGCTTTGACACCGTGATTTCCAGTACTGCTAAGCTGTCCAAAAGCTCTTGTGCCTGCAGATTTTAAAAAAAAAGTTCGAATTTTTTAAGGAAACTAAAAAGCTAAAAAAGGCAACTTATAACAATTTCATGCTGGAGAGAGGATTGTGACCTTGTCGGGAAGTTCGCATGGGGAATCCATGAAGGGCGAACTAGAGTGCTCAACAGCGCTTGTTAGAGCTAACCGTAAGTTGATCTCCTCTTGTAACTGCTTCTGTAGTTTCTTAACCTGTATCATCCCCCACCAAAAATGATTCACAATCTAGAACCATTACAGGTTGTTGTGTACATCAAACTCTTAAAAAATGGTTTTTTTTTTTTGGGTGAAGTGTCTTGTAAAATGTGAGAAACAAAAACCAGCAGATTACTTGATATCGAAATGGCTAAATAACACAAGCACCAGCAAATGAATATGATAGTAATAGACAAACTGAGATTGTGTGGGATCTGAGCCACTTACATCTTGTTCAAGCTCACATTTGTACCATAACTTGCTTTTTCCTTCAAACCTACCACTAGTTTGATCAAGCATCTTGCTTTCCTGCTACCAAAAAAGTCACCACATTTCAAAACCATTAGGTGTGAACCTAAACCCCTCAAAACCCTAGATTTACTGCATACACCCATATACCACTAACCAAGAAATCAGATAGTAATGGAAGTTGCATATACATGTATAGAGTGTGAGAGAGCTACATTACATCGAGATCAGGAAAATACAAAGATCCATCTCCTGAAGAGTAAGATCTTCTCGAAAATGTGCCAGGCTTCTTCAAATACCTCCGAATCGAGCTTCCCCTGTCACATGAAAACGAGGAAACAGTTAGTTGACCAGCAACATTGCAGCAACAACAAGAAAAAAAAGGAAGAGAAAAACCAAATCGAGCAATTGTGGAAGAAGAGAGAGTACCAATTGATGGGAAGACGAAAAGTGGCATTTCCGGAGCTACGATCGGTGCTGCTGGGAGAAGAAGAAGAGGAAGCTAATGTTTGATCGTCGCGAAGAGCTTCCGATTTGAGACAGAGCATCTTTCGTCGCTTAGCGGAGAAGAAGACGAAAGCTTAAAATTTAATTCCAGCGTTGAGGTTTTCCAGAGGAAATTGAATTTGGTTGTGGTTGGGGGCTCTCTCACAACACTTCACTCTCTCTCTTTCCTTTTTTCTGCCTGTCGCTTTTATGATTTGTGACGAAAACAAAATGAAAATGTTTATTACAAAAAGCTGAAAAGGGTAAGGAGGAATTTATTCTTGTCCCAGACAATTTTGACTCGGTGGTGCTCACTCCTCATTTTCATTTACACTCTCTCTCTCTCTCCATTTTCTTTCGGTTTTCAAATTATGTTTTTTTTTTTTTTTTTATCTTTTTGCTTTTTCATTTCATTAGTTTCCATTTCATTAGTTTCCATTTCGTATTACAGAAATCATTTATTTTCTTCCATTTCTTGTTTTTTCCTCAAGGTTTCCCTCTCGTTGGCGAAGAATCTACTTTTTCTTTAGCCGATCAATCTCATTTCTTTCATTGTGTTTTTGATATATTCTTGGAATGTTGTTTCATGTTATTATTATATTGTGGGTCAAAATAATGTACTGTATAATCAAAAAAAATGAAGACGCCGATAAGCGGAATATCTAACTTTACATTTTGAATCGGATTCAAAAGACTTGATTGCAACATATATGATGAATATGTGTAGCTGGCTACAAAGAGTCTCAAGAAACCACAACCAAACACATATGTACTTGTGTAATTACAAGATGGAAGATTCCAAGTCAATTTGATTAAAAAGATGTTACAAAGTTAAGACATCCAAAACATTACATTTTACATTTGCACATTTGGACCGACTTAATAATAATATTTGTCTTTTTTTTCGCCGTTCAATTTGTAGAGGCTACGGCGTAAATGTAGGGGACAAAAATATTCTAGTAATTAATTCCACTTTTTATCTTAATTAATTTTAATTAATGGCTTTCTTTTGTGTGTGTGTTCATTTTAAAGTCCCCAGCAAAGTGCTCCAATGCATGATTATCAACGTTGGAGCCGATAGATTTTGCTTTTTTTGAGTTTTATTTTTTTGTTTCCTGTCTTAAAGAAATTATAACTTTTTGTTCATCATCGCTTCGATTTCCTCTTGCTCGATTGGGGGATTTTAGGGTTCGATTTTGCTCATTTTCTTTTGATTTTTGGATGGTGTAATGTGAGGAAGTTCGTTATGTTAAAGAGGCAGTCCAACGCCACTCTCTACAGAATCGCACGATTCGATTCGCAAACCCTAATGTCTGCTTACACCGATCCCCTCTCTCTGCGATCCCTCCACACTCGATCCATCGGCGACAGATTCGATGGAGCTTTCGTTAACAGAACCAATCCCATTGAAATTTACAACAGCACTGCCTCTAATGGCTTGCTCAAGCGTAATAAAGGCGGAAAGCCCAATGGATTGTTAACCCTGAGAAGCTGTTTCGATTCTCACAAAAAGGCTGATCAGAAGTCGCGAGCTTTAGCTCAGCACCGGCGGCTTCTCCATGGATTGGGATCTGGGCCGAGGGAAGAGCGCGGCGGCGGAACCACCGACCTGGCGGATGGCCGTGGTGCGTATCTGCGTAGTAACACGACGAAGCTCCAAGGAAGCGATAAGATTGCTGTGGCTGTTGACATAGACGAAGGTAATGATTCCTTTCTTCTTTAGTGATGTTTACAGGTTTGAAATGTCTTTGGCAGAAATCGTTATTAAAATGTAATCTTTGACTTATAAAACTGGTTCTAGAAAAGCTTGGAGTCAATAATAAGTAATATAATTTATATACTATCTGGATTGTGTGTAGCAGAATCTTGAAAGCTTATGCAACTGGGAAGATCCCTGATTCACATTGTTGCTTTGTGTAAAACATCTCTACTGATTTCTGTGAATTTGTTTCCAACTCGTGTTTTAAGTATTGACTTAGTTTGATGGCTGATTAGAATCTTTGATGTGGTTTGTTTGCCGATATCTCTTGCATTTCTTACACTGGCATCATTTTCCGTCTCTCTTTTCATTGAGCCATTAACTTAAGCTTTGCTTCATCTTATGGTGTCTTTTCATGTGAGCAGTTCTTGGAAACTTTGTCTCGGCCCTTAACAAGTTCATTGCGGACCGCTATTTGTCAAACCATTCAGTCTCAGAATACCATGTCTACGAGTTCTTCAGGGTATGAAGTCATAGCTTCTTCTTCAGCGCCTCTTCGTTTGCGTTGCCTTTTACCCTACAGATATAACATTGCTGGCTTCCCATCACAGATTTCATGTATATGATATGCCCTTATGATCTGTCTTATTTTTTTTTTTTTTTTTTTTTTGTCGCAGATATGGAACTGCTCTCGTAACGAAGGTATCTTCTTTGGCTTACTTTGCAGCTATGCAGTTTAATCTAGTGACTAACTGATGATTGCTCTCAAGACTTTTTGTGTGTCAGCAATTTTGGTGGATATAGACTGGGACCTAATTATGTGCTATGTTTAAACTTTATTGTTCTGTAGCTGATTTACGTGTTCATGAATTCTTCAAGACATCATATTTCAAGAAAGGGATCCATCCTCTTCCAGGTGCCCATAAGACTCTTCACAAGCTAGCAAGACACTGCGAGCTTTCAGTCGTGACGTGAGTGGCATTACACAGTGTGATCTTTGAACGTTTGAAGTTACCAGTTAATTCAGTATATGTGTGTTTTTATCATTGGATAGGTCTCGGCAGAACGCGATAAAAGATCACACACTTGAGTGGATCGACATACATTTCCCGGGATTGTTTAAACAGATTCATTTCGGGAACCATTTTGCTCTTCATGGAGAGTCTAAACCAAAATCCGAAATCTGCAGGTGCATACAGAATCAACTCATGGAATATCTGCAGATTGGCTATATTCTACTCTTAATAACTTAAAAACACTTAAACTTTCATATGATTTGATGGGCTAATGCAAGAATTGGAACTGCAGATCATTTGGAGCAGAGATATTGATTGACGATAACCCGAGATATGCCGAGGAATGCGCTAACATTGGGATGAAGGTTCTCCTCTTTGACTATGAAAATTCATACCCTTGGTCTAAATCTGACTCTGTGGATAGACATCCTTTGGTGACTAGAGTTCATAATTGGGATGAGGTGGAGCAGCATATTCTCTCATGGGTAGTATCAAAGTGTTGAAACATTTCTGCGAATTATTAATGTCAATTATTTTGCCACTGCAAAATCATAGTATTGATGTTAGAATTCTATGTATAAACATGAAAGAAGGCAAACAAAACCCAGAAAGCTTGATGGGAGAATAAGTAGCAATCGAAATGGAATTAGCGTAAATTGTCACGTTTTAAAGTTTATAGCATTATTCTTTTGATCTGTTTAGTTTGGCTGTAATAAACTACTCTCTCTGTTTCTAAAAGAAGATTTTTTTAGAAAAAGGGATAAAAATGTATGTTTTCTTTAACTCACATGGTAGATGACTAAAATTTTAGCTGTAAAGATGTCTCACTCATGATATATATAACTTACATGATATAATGCTATGCAGATTATATATATTGTTTCAGTCGAAAAACTAGATGATCGAAATAATGAATGAATATATAGAAGAAAAAAATTTGGTTTCGAGCACGTCCGTAAACCAAGAAGGATTTGATTAATGGTAGCGTAATAACATGTAGAACAGGAAAAAGAAAGCGGAGAGAAAACGTCTCATTTTATTTAAATAATATGATATCATCATCATAACTCATAAGAGGAGAATCACACCATAGGAGCATAAACAAAGAAGGTGCTCATGCTTTTTAACTATTAAAACACTTTTTTCACTTAGTTGCCTTGTCCTTAGCATGAAGGTTGTCAAAATAAGACTTGGTGTTTTGCTCGAAAGCCCCTCGAGGTATATGAACTACACCTCCTGTCCCCGGGGCCACCATATTACCCGTACCAGATCCATTGCCACCGGTTTGTGCCGCGTTGCCAGATTTTCCGCCATCGTTTGTCTTGTCCATTATCTTGAACTCTTGAAGATTTGAGTCTTTAGTTTTAGTATGAGGAGTACTATTTGATTTTGTTGTAGATTGAGAACAAAACTGATGAAGCGGAGGGTAAATTTATAGATGGAGTTTCATTAAATTAGTCAAATCAACACTTTCCAAGGTAACTCAAAGGGAAAATGAAATTGGTAAAGAATAAGAGTCTCTCTTCTTGGGGTGATCAATGGCACTTGGAAATAACAATTATGTGATTTTACTTGAATGTTTTAATAGCTGTATATACGAAAATCTTATAGACCATCAACATTCAAATTTTCAAAACCAATCTTGGAAACTGATTTTCAACAGCCAAAAAAAAATACTCATTTTACACCAATTTTATTTATTTACTTGCCAAATTGCTCTTAACAGATTCAAAGTTTGTATATATACATATACATATATGATCACTTACTATATAGTCCATTGATGTTTGTGGACGCGAGTCCTTCTGTACAATATACATTTATACATATGATATGATACATACATTTACAGGGTTCCTCTCGGAATCCAAGGATTGAGGCTTATCTCTCTTATCTTCTTCTTATTTCTGGGTATAATCTCTATATATCTTCTTCAGCGTAGTCTCCAAGTTACAGAGAAACAATATACAGAGTTTCTTCAGACAGAAGAAAATCATTCTGTCTTCTCCATCAGCTTTATACCATACGCTTGCAATATATCCAAAGCTGTACGTACAAAACACAATAAATCAGCATCATCGTCTTCATCTGCAGACACATCGCTAGTATTGAAGAGGAAATTCAAAGTTACCTGGCAAATAGACCTCTGGTTCGAGTGGCCTTAAGACTCCTCTTGTCTTGATCTTGTCTTCAATTAGCAGCTGCAACACACCACATCAGAATCATATGTTTAAAAGTGTGTAACTTAGGAGAGAGAAGTTAAGACAGGAAAAAGTGGTGATCAGTGTAAGAACCAGAGCTCCAATGGCTGCAGGGATCCCAACGGTCTTGGCCATAGCAGTCGTTGTTTGCCCGTTCTTGATTTCCCCGAATTCCAAGAGAGTCGCACTGTGCTTCTCTGTACGTTTGCTTTCAGGGAACTCCACTTCCACCTCGTGATGTAGAAGAACCATGTCCTGAAACCATAATGCAATAGATTTTATGTCAGAAAATCAACATCAAGTGCAACAAAGAGAGAGAGAGTGAGAGAAAATCAAATGTTTATCAATGAGAGACTTAAAACCTGCTCATTTCCGGAATAGGCTAGTTTCTCTTCCATAAGGTAACAAGTTGCATCGAATGTGCTTTTACACAATGACGGAATCTCCCTCTCTTCGTTGAACCCCAAGAATCTACAAGACAGTACCGCAATAACCAATCAGTCTTAGGTGTGTTTCGCAGAAGATTTGGTATTAGAAAACCAACATTCAGATTTATCTTCATGGAGAAGCTTACACAATTGTTTTGGAAGCTTTGGCTGCAGTATCCTCGGAATGTCCAAGCTTGATAATTCTCTTGCTGATCTCTTCTTCTCCGGCTAGAGGCTCGGCAGATTCATTGTCTGCATCCTTTTTCAGAATGTCACTTAGAAGAAGACCAAACGTAATCCTGTTTCCAGTGGAGAGTACTTGATTTGCTTCGTAGTCAAAGAATCCGAGTTTCGAAAGTGTTGCCATTATCATACTAAACCCTGTACGAAGCAGAAAGAAAAAAAACAGTTAAGCCTTCATATATGGAGATGTGGCTTGATGGTTAAGGAATACATGCCTTCGTATCTGAGGGTTCCACGAAATATCGTTGATGCTTCGCTCTCGATGCCATAAAGATCTCCGTAAACCAAGGAGTTCCGGTTTGGAAGACACTCCAATGCAAAAGCTGGAAGATTAGGTACTCGGAATCTTGTAGCTGAATCATACAGATTATCTCCTGCGATTCACATTTCTCGGTTAAACAGGAATCAAATCATATGTGTAGTGAGTGAAGCTAAACTACTCCAACACCCCCTGCATGCATACCATCAACATGTATTATGTCGCCGTAGCTTTTGTATTTAGCGGGATTACGTCCAGCTCGAATTGCTCCAGCAGGATTCCAGCTGAGAATAATATAGATATGAAATTGAGTAAGCGAGTTTCTGAAATGATATCTTAATGAGGAAAACAGAGGAAAACAGGGTAAAACAGAGGAAAGTCTGTTTTAGAATGGCGTAAAAACGACAAGAGTACCTAAATTTATATGCTAACGGATTATTTGCTGCAGCGGGAGAGGGAAGCCCACCACAGTAAGATGTGAAAGACTTCACTTTCCCCTTTCTGATATGAGCCTCATTGATCATTTTCATCGCCATCATGTGATCTGAAAGAAAAGACTCATTACAAGATCATCTTCTCAATTATCCAAGAATGATATTGAAGATACTATATTATGTTGTGAGATGGCATACCGATTCCAGGGTCCAGTCCCATTTCGCCAAGAATAGTAATCCCAGCACTCTTAGCCTTCTCATGTAACTTGGACGTTTCATCATCAACATAGCTAGCAGTGATGAGATGCTTCTTCAGCTGAGTGAATCACAAAAAAAGAAAAAAGAATTGTTATTCTTCTGCCTTTTAAAACTCAAGTCTAATGTTTTAAGAGTAGGAGTGTACCTCAATGCATGTCTTTGCTACAACAGCATGACAACTTGCAGGTAATAAACTTAGAACAACATCAACCTGTACGCAACATCGAGAAGATAATATAAGGGAATTGAGCTGTAGAGTTTGGAGATGGGTAATCGAAAAACAGAGAAATTTAAGAGAATATTACCTCAGAAACATACTTAAGAAGGCTTTCACTATCTGACACATCTAGCTGAACTGCTTCTACGTCTGAAATACCTTCAACCGTCTGAAACATCATCATTTATCACTTCAGTAAAACAGAATATAACTTGAAAAAGATCGATTAGTTCAAATTCATTGTAAAATATTGGTTTTCCTCAGATATGATGTACCTCTTTGGCATCCTTAAGATACAGAGATGCGACAATCACATGAACATCTGTTTGTTCATCTGGGTCTCCTCCCAAATACGTTTTGTACCATTGCTGTGACGATATGTTTCTGACTGAAGCTAGGAACTCGGCAGCAGGGCGACACACACGTCCAGCGCCAAGAATCAAAACCGCTGATTTCTTCGTCATTTCTTCAGGCTTCTTCTCTTTTGCCTGATTTTCTTGCAGGACTTTGCCAATCTTGAGTGAAATCTTATTTGTTTCTTTACGTGGGGTTATATAATCTCCATCTGGATTAGCTAATCCAGTTAATGAATCAATGATTTGATCCAATACTTTCCTATCATCCGCACCAACCTACCCAAAATAATGAAGGAATCTTTGGTAAAGTGGCAACAGGTGGGAGGGACCACACTGTTTTGGCTTCTTGTACTGTGTTTACTTGTTCTAAAACCTTACGAGACTTAGTGAAAAGGACATGAAACCTAAACTTGACAAATGTACGATATTTATGATTCGGTATTATCATCATCCACAAGAAAAAAACTTACTTCAAGTTCTGAGTATGACTCAGCATCGGCGCTCTGCCCCAGTTCACATCTAGCCAAATGAAATGAGCCACCGGCCGATTCGATCATATCGAGAGCTTCGTTTATCAGAAACTTATCAAACAGGTGTCCACTTAGAGATACCTACAAACCATTGTCTCAGTCATAATCATTACAAGAAGTTTTTTAATTTCCTTAAAACTCACCAATATGTTGTATGTTCTCTGGTCGGAAGCCCCGTTGGCGATGTTAGCTCGTGCCTCTCTGCTTTTTTTAAGTGTATTCAAACATTAAAATCATAAGCCTAATCACCTGAGATATAAAGTATATGGAATTAATGGTGGAAGCAGAACATACTCAGGATCAGACTTCCTCATACGTGGAATATACTCATACAAAGATGTCAACTCTCCTCTATAGCTTATGCAAGCCCTCTTCAGATGTGCTGGTAGCTCTGCAATTTCAGTCATCGAAGCTAGACTACCCACAAACTCTGAAAGAATATCTCCAAAATGCTGGGACGCCTTTGTTTCATGACACAAGAACTCCCAAATCAGTACAAGTTTTTTTTTTTAAAAAACTGTAGAATCAGTCTTGGTACACTGAAACTGTGATGATCTTACTTCTTTTGCAAATTCTGTGGGTAGAATGTCGATGGCCATGCATAGTACGCCATCACCGTCCATGTCATCGTGGTATGAAGAGTTCGTGGGATTAAACCTAAAAAGACAGGTATGAGCTTAAGCAGATAGTTAAAGTGAAAGACTCATGAGATGAATGCTTAGTTTACCTAAAGAAAGGGGAGTCGATTAAAGTAGCTCGGTTAACAAACTCGATGGAGCCACCGATATCACAAGTTATATCACATATTCCTACTAGTGGGCTTCCTTTTGTTGTTAAATCTTGAAGCTGCTTGATGCTCAGAAGACGTGGAAACCTCTTCTCCCAGTACATACAGTTCACTGCACAGAAAGTCTTAGTTCATTATACTCTACAATTAACCCAAAGATGAGATACGTCACAGCCTTGGGGAAGTAACTAGTGGAAAGCTGAGTTTAAAACAGAGATAAGTATCTACCAAGAACAGACGTATATGGGGCGATCCTTTCGTGGAAAACTGGATTGTAGTGTTCCGGGTGTACATAATAGTCCGCCTGAACATCAAAAACTTGAAGAGTTAACATGAAGTGAAACAAAAGTCACAGACATGGAGCTAAATTGACAAGTGTTACTTTGTCGAAAGACTTTGATGGGTCTTGGTGTTGAACCATGTCTTGGCTGGTGACGATACAACCATATACATGATGGACTCGCTTTGTTGATTTTCCATTTTGGATATTTCCTTTCTCCTGTTCAGAAATATGCATTTCAATCAATAGAAGAAACTTTTAACAAAAACAGATTCCTAGAAAATTGTAATCTTCAACACCCTGAAAGTGAAGAAGAAGCAAAGCTACACTTACTTTAGCAAATAGTTCAGGAAGCGTGCTTGGTTGAACAAAAGTGTGAGGAAGAAGCTTGAAGATCTCTTGCGCCCCGAGAGAAACTGCGAATGAGAAAAATATGAGAAACCTGCAGGCTGAGTGAGAGGTGGTGCAGTAGGAATATAAAGAACTTGGAGTCGAACTAAAGAAGTTACCGTTTCCTGTTCCGGTGAAAACAAAAACAAGAGGGCAGATTCCTAATGGCAGCCCCTGGCTTGCAATTTCTTCACCTACAGAGATCACAGCGGCTTTTGCAGCAGCCAATGAGGAATACATATACGATGACCCTAGCGAGAGGAATGGCGTTGAGTATCCTAGACTTAGATATCCTGCATCCAAAATTGAAAAAAATTACATATTGAATCCATCTTGATCTGCACAGAAACATGTAAAGAAAGAGCTTACTCTGTCCCAGTCCGTGTAAGAAGTCAACAAGACCAGCTCTTCCTGCATATTTACCAAATGCCAATAATCTTCTCCCATGGTCCCCAACGATGAGCTCATAATCATACAAAGTCACTCTCTCAGCCAAAATCTGCATTTCGAATAACCGGTTTTTCAAACATATCTAGATATGTCTCAAAAAGAAAGAGTAGGAATGAAAAGTGTCTTACTTTATCCAGCAAAGGCATGTTTTCTTTCTGTGCCTTGTGAGTGTGGGAGAAGAAAGCATATGCTCTCTCCGGAAGAATCATTTCTAGCTGCAACAGAACCAAAACCCTAAACGCTAAATCTCATAAACAAAAACAAAAAAGATTCTTTTTTTTTAAAATGCAATTTCCCATTACCTCGGGTTGTTTGATTCCGAGAATAAGCCCACAATCAGACAAATCGTCAGAGATTTCACATCCGACATCTTCGTACAATGCATCGTGATGGATGCGCTTTGCAGATGGCTGAACCACAATGCGGGAAACTCCGGTTCTGTCTTTGCCGCCGTGTAAAAGTCGGGCGCAATGCGACGGCGTCAATGGCGTTCGTCTCTCCCATTTGTTCACTGTTTCTGCTAGGATTCCCACAACTCCATCCCCCAACTTCTTCTTCTCCTCCTCCTCACCGCCACTTGAATTCATCCTTTTTCTGGTAAGCTTATACAATCTCTGCAGATGAATCACAACGACACAACCAGTTGATATCTCGAGTTCGGTCGAGCAAACATCAAAAAACCCAAACTTTCATTAATTTAATAAAAAATCATCGATTCACTACTACAGTTCGAGTTTGATCAGACGAAAAATTAGAGAAATTTCAAGAGTTTGACTGAATTTAAAGGGTTGCGGAAATTGGGTTTTCAAAATTATCATGGGTATTGGGAACGGGCAATTGTAAAATCTATGACAAAAATAATTGATAACCAAAATCAGAACTGAAGAGGACAGAGCAGAGCATTGAATAACAGAGAACGCAGATCAAACCATTATTTTTCCAAATAACAAGGAGTAGTTGAGCTAAAGCTCTGGTCCTCTGGAGCTCATTTACAAGAAGATAAATTATGGAAGAAGAAATCAAGACGTACCCGATGACTTTGATCATGCAATGCCTGTGAACTGGTTTGTGAAAATGGAACAATCCTTCTAAGGTGAGTTTAGGCGCAGTAAAGAAATTTGTTTTGTTCGTCCTTTTAATAAAGCTAAATTACGTATATAATTAGTATTTTTTCTTTGATAAAATGATCATCAGTTGGTTGGGCCAACAAAAATAATTAATATCCTAATCTGACCATAAAAAAATTGATATGACAAGAGCAAATAAAAAAAATTTACCGTCGCTAACATACGCCAGCTGACGATTAGAATATGATGTTTATGATGTTTAGAAGAAAAAAACACGTGGTCTTTTAAAGATTTGTTCATAATTAATAGTGTTACGTCTCATCGATCTCATTAGATGTGTCTTTATATCATATAAAGTTTAAACACACGAGGATGAAATGAATCAATCAATATTGTAACATTAACCTACACTTCGTTGAAAATTAATAATGTCATCGTTAACAAATTATATAAATAGTTATTGTTCAAAAAAAGAAAACAAATTATATAAATAGTTATTGTTCAAAAAAAGAAAACAAATTATATTTATAACATAATAATGCAATAGAAAACTTATCCAACACAAGAGGATAACGTGAACCAATCATCAACCAACGTGTAGTAATCTAAATTTTTGTGAAGGACTAAAACAATCATTGTTAAAGATTATTTAGTACTTTGTATTATATTACTCCGTATCTTTGCTTTAATTTAAATTTTAAAAAAATATATGTATGTGCAAGTAGTAAATGACAAAATACAGATGCAGCACTAAATTATTATCAATAAAGTTTGATTAACACGAAAATAACATGAGCCAGACAATATTGTAAAATTATTATTTTTATTAATTTCTAAATTTTGATATGCTTTAATCTATATAAGATTTAGAAGTTGTTACAGATTTTTAAATTAGACTTGTAGTTTTTAAAATAGCAATGTTTATTCTCAAATTTGAGTCTTTGTAATATAGCTTAAATATGTGTTTGAATTCGTTAAAAATTAATGTAAATATAAGATTTCAACAAATATCTACAAATTATTGAATGAATAATATAGTTTTGGTGAAAAGAATAAGAAAGGGACAACGTCATGTTTACGTGGATGGATACAAGATAAGACCGAGGAAGTCTGGCCTCCTAAGGGAAAGCGTAATACGTGTATGAGAAGAAGAGAAAGAGAGACAGAAGAGTGAAGACGTTAATCACTCGCTACTTCCTATATTAGATCACGACGCTTACGACTTTCCGTGTTCTCTACGTCTGTGTTCTCTACGTCGATCTGTTTTTTGGTTTTATCATGAATTTGTTAGCATATGGCCATATGGGACTAAAATATGAATTTTTTTTTTGTTTAAATGACTAAAATATGAGTTGATATGTCTCATTCGTGAATAGCTACACTAAAATTGATACGAAAACACCAAGGACAGATGAAAAAAAATTGGGTGAAATGATTGTTGTTTTACTAAAATGATTCAAAAGTGAGAAAACGACATTGTTATTTTTTTTCCTTTTGTCAATAGAAAAGAAACACAACACTGTCTTAGTTCGAATTGTCACAAAAGTTGATGAATTGTGTAGGTCTACCAATTTGACAAATCAGTTTTGTCATAAAACTGCTGAGTTATACTCTTTGTTATACAATAAACGTTGTTTTTTAAAAAAAGTTTAGTGATGTTTTACGTTTATATGCAATGTTTTTAACTAGGTAAATGATGTTTTGATATCGAAAAAGCCAAAAAAAATACTTAATTTATTTGTTTTATTAATTTGTATGCAAAAATGAAATAGAAGATATACATTCTAGTAAAAAAAAAAAAAATAGTAGCACTAAATGAAGAACATTTATTAGGTACATGATTAATAACTTTCTTTATTTGTAGTTTCAGAAAAGGCATGCTTTTTTTTTTTTTTACAACAGATGTGTTTAATCTTATTCTTGCTGTGTCTCTCAAATAGACATTACATTGACACAGACAATACTTGATGAAAACGTCAATAAGTGATGATTAAAAATTAAGTAGTGTCTTGAATTGTTCCAAATACATTGATCCACTACTAACTAACCCAAACACTGAATTAGTATATACATAGTTGTGGATGTGGATCTGAATGTGATCTTACTTAATTAAAGTCACATTTGCAGAGGTTGGGCTTAATTGTTGTCTACGAACCATGTCCCTTTGTCTTCTTTTCCACGTTCTTCTTTGTGTTCCATACGCCAAGCTTCTTCAGTTTAGGAACCAATGAGAAATGTAAAATTTCTCCAATACAAATTCCGAGACAAAGCTCTCTCCGAATCTTATAAATCTTGTTGGAACAAAAATTAATGGTCTTACAAATCTTCGGCCTTAGTGCCTTACACAATAAACAAAGAAAATATTTATGGGCCTTCGTGCCTTACCCAATAAACAAAGAAAATATTTATGGGCCTTAATGCCTTACCCAATAAACAAAGATAATATTTATGGGCCTTAGTGCCTTACACAATAAACAAAGAAAATATTTATGGGCCTTCGTGCCTTACCCAATAAACAAACCCAGAAGATATTGCGAAACATCACTAGAACATTGTTTTGGTATCATCGATATCTCTGCTGCGACCTGCTAGATTTCGTTGACGGCCTTTTATCATTTATTTTGTCATTGATATTATACAGTTCTTTTTAAAAAGTTAATACTAGTAGTATAATAATTTGATTAAAATAATATAGTTAAATTGGGCATGGCCTGGGAACAAGTTCTGGGCATTGACTTTGCAATGGGCACAAAGGTCGATGCGAGAAGAGATTCCTCAACGAGGCTACAAAGTAAACAGTGGTCCTATCCTTTTGCTTTTACACCTATCTTCTTCTTCTTTTTTTCAATACATTTTTGATTTTTTCTCCCAAATAAAAAAGAACTTTTCTTCCTCTTCTTCTTTGTTCGGCAACTTTTTTTTAACATAGCATTGTAAATCTGAAACTCTCCGATAAAAAAGTTCCACTAATGTCATTTGTATATATAAATTTATAATAAGACAAATAAATGTTTGCTAATGAATTTTGTGATAAATATATGATTAATTTACATCCTGTGACCAGTGACCACCATCATGAATGACATTATAAAATGGTATCAAGACAAGGGACGAGTTGATAAACAGTTGAACTTAGAAACAGTTAATATCAAATCTCTCGTCTCTGCGAATTTTACATTAACTCAAATAACAGGTAACACGAGGCTACCGGGTAAAGCTTGTGATTTATGGATGAAGAACAATAGCATGAATGACTACAAAAAAGCTAGTATTTTTGGATGAAGAATTCAACGCCAAGTTTGACAAATGATAAAGACAAATGTGACTTGATGCTAAGAAAAAAAAGACAAGAGATGTTTTATTTGGTTTATGTTAGGTTAAATAAATAAGAGAAAACATGAGCAAAAGAAAAAGTAATTTACTTTTAATTTTCATATTCGAAAGGTAAAACTGTTTAAAAGAAAAAGATAAAGGAGAAACAAAAAAAGAAGAAGACAACCCACACGAATCGCCACTTTTAATAGTGTGACTGTGAGTATTAGAGAAGAGAAGAGAAGAGAGAGGCAGCTCCTAAGTCTCAAGTCCTAACTAACTTTCTCTTTTGCTTTTGTCTTTAAACCAGCCGTGGTCGTGGGATGTCCACTGTCTCCGTGCGCTAATCCTGCTTCCTTTTTCCTTGCTTCTCTTTTACTTCATTACTACTTCATGTTTTACTATTTGTCTATTATTATTTTTGTTAGTAGAGAGAGCTCATAAGCAGAAGAAACTTGGCTTACAAAAACAGGATAGAGACCGAAATTCGGAAAATGAATTTTTTTGCAGCTATGCTTGGAATTTAAAAGAATAGCAATATTAGAGTGTAGATTTGCACCCAAAAAAGCAATATCAGAGTCTATTATATTTTATTTTTTTATAATCCTCTTCACGTTACTCTCCTGTTTATAATACAGAATGGAGATATAGAAACGGAAACAACGATGAGTATTTTTTACAAAAACAAAAAAGAAGCAAAAAACGTCACAAAACTCTTCAGCTAAATTATAAAGGAGTTAGTTGGCTGCAAGATTTCTTTTGTAAATTCTTTTTTTTTTGTCCCACTCCACAACGTTTTTCTTTTTCTTTTCAGAACTAGTTGTATGTGTGTGTGTGTTTTTTTTTACAGTTCACACTAGTAACTAATACCTGATTAATACAAACCAATAACTAACAAATCCAAAACTCTGATACCACAACATCATTAATACAAACTAATAACTAACAAATCCTAGTCGAAAAAACATATACTAGTAGTTTGTTATAAGTCGAAAGAATATCTGATTATTAAAATAATAATATATTAATTTTAGAGAATCTATACCATCAATTATTTTCCAATCAAACAATATGCATAGCAATGATATTTTTTTAAAATTTCGCCATTCTTTTTTTGGTCAAAAAATTCCGCCATTCAACTAATAAAAAATCCACAAAAAATCATCAAAATCGCAATTAATTGTACTCTCTCTTTTTTTATTGGGTAGAGTGATTGATTAGTGAACAACATTGAACAAGAAGTTACAACACAATCTTTGCCTTTTACTTCCATCTCTCTCTCTTCCCCAAACAGTATCTTTGTGGATTGTCAACGCTCTCAGAAAGAGGAGCCCAAGAACCTTCCTTTTCTCTCTCTCTCTCCAATGGCGCTACAAATCTCCTCTCTTTAAAAAACCACACTCTTCCAAGATTTTCACCACCGTCTCTCTCTGCTTCACCATTCTCCTCATTGTCTCCTTCACCAGCATGCTCCACGTATCGCTTGATTCTTCTTCTCTGTCTCTTGCCTCTTTCTCTGCATTTCAAGTTTCAAGCTTCTTCTGATTTTGTTCACAATCTCCTGAGATTTCCTCAAACCTCAAAGTGAACCGATTTTCTTGAAATTTCTCTGCAATCCGGATCCAATTACACTTCACCCAAAATCTCGAAGAATTCGTTGAGTTCTTCTCGTAATCTGCGCAGATTTCATTTAAGCCAAACATGGGATTCTCAGCTGGGAAAAGGAAATCACGAGACGAAGAAGGAGAAGAAGATACAGTGAGCTTAGCTTCTGCTGAATTCCCCATGGATGACCTCAGCGATGACGTCCTCGAGAGAGTCCTCTCATGGCTACCAACCTCCTGTTTCTTCCGTATGAGCTCCGTCTGCAAGCGATGGAAATCCAGCGAATCCTCCAAAAGCTTCAAGCTCGCTTGCTCTCAGATCCCTCGTCGAGATCCTTGGTTCTTCATGGTTTCTAACGATCCCGATTCCTCGTTCGTTTTCGACTCCACCGAGAACAACTGGAAAAAACTCAACCGCCGTCGTAACCGCTCCCTCATCCACCACCAACGCGATTTCATCCCCGTCGCTTCATCCGGCGGCTTGCTCTGCCTCCGCTGCTCCATCTCCGGCGAATTCCTCATCCGTAACCCCCTCACAGGATCCTCCCGCGTACTTCCTTCTCCAATCTCTCAAGAACATCTCCAAGCCGTAGCCATGACAACCACCGTCACTCCCTCAAGCTATAAACTCGTTACAATCTCCGGCGAAACCCCAAACCTAACTTTCCGGTTCTACGATTCGAATTCCGGTTTATGGAGCAAAGAACTGGAGTTAGCGAAGAGCGATACAGACAATGAGTACAACGCTCCATCACATGATGATGAAACCGGAACAGTCTACTTTCTCAGCAAGACAGGAAATGTCGTTGTAGCGAGTAACGATCTCCAGAGAAGCCCGTCGAAGCAATACTCTTCTGTTATAACCGTTAAAGACAAGACAGAAACCGTCTACTTCCTCAGCTCTTACGGAACAATCATAGCTTGTGACCTCACGAAACGATGCTTCACCGAGCTCCCTAAGCTTCTTCCTCCATTCCTGGAGTACTCCATCGACTTGGTGGAATGCAATGGAGCCATGTTTGTGATCCTTCTCTCTGAGTTCTACGAAAGCGCCAGCTTAAGGATCTGGAAACTAGAGAACCAGAAGTGGGTTCATGTCGGGATGTTGCCTCCTGCCATGTCTCACGAGCTATACGGGAGAAAAGGAGACATAAACTGCGTAGGAGGAGCAGGAAGCAAGATACTTGTGTGTTTCAATGCGAATCCTCCTGAGGTGTATTATAGATACTTTGTGTATGATTTAGTTACACAAGACTGGACTGAGTTACCTATATGCTTCAACGATGGTGAAGCTGTGGATTTCGTTTCCGCTCTTTCCTTCCAGCCTCGGATCGAATCAACAGTTTGAAATCTTATAGCTTTCCTGTTTTTTTATTATGGATTAGGTTCAGTGAGATTTGTAAGTGTGTATTCTTTTTCAGGATAATGCAATGTAACTTGATTTTTTTTAATCTATTGATTTGAACAAGGATTAAAAAAAAAAAAACAATCTTTTTGAGAAACTTTCAACTACCAAAAATCACCACATGAGCATTTACCATCCTTGAACCGGTGAAACCGGTTTGCATCTCTCAGTACAATCTCTCTACCATACACCTTTGCTATATATTTCATGGCATTGTGGCAATCTCCACAGACGCGTAGATTCTTGATCACACGGATCGGTGTGGATGGAGGAGTGGTCATAAGCCCGAAAGCAACCGCAAGCTTCTCGCTGTGGTAGTACAGTGCGCGCTCTTTCTCCTCTTCCTCCACATCCACAAGTGTGAAATCTGTCTCAGGAACATACCCTTCTTGTTTGATGTCTCTGATCATATCTTTTACTTTCTCGTATATCAACTCGGCTTGCGGGTTTGACCTATCGTCCACAACAAACACGTGGATCTTGTTTTTCACCTCGATCCAACTGAAACCCGGGTCTTTTTTCACTCTCTGCCCTCTCATCATTGTCCGGGCAAGCTTCATCTCAGTCCATTTGGAAGCAGCAGCGTACATGTTTGATAAAAGCACATACGCTGATGAGTCCAGTGGCTCTAGCTCCAAAAGCTTAGTCGCCACTCTCTTCCCTGTTTCTGTGTCCCCTTGAACTCTGCAAGCTGCAAGCAGAGCTCTGTACATCGATGCTGAAGCTTCCATGGACATTGACTCGATCAGTTTCTCAGCCTCTCGAACAAGTCCAGCACGGCCAAGCGCATCAGCTAAACAAGAGTAGTGTTCGATTTCAGGTTTAATGCCATAGTCTCGATGCATCGACTTGATTTGCTTGTATGCCTCGGATACCAAGCCTGAGTGACTGCAAGCAGAGAGAACGCCGATAAATGTGACCTTATCAGGTCTTATACCCAGAGATCTCATCTGTTTGAAAAGCTCGAGCGCTTCTTTCCCTTCCCCGTGTTGAGCTAATCCTACTAACATGGCATTCCAGGCAGTGATGTTCCTCATTTCAATCTTTCTAAACAATGAATATGCATCGTCTATGCTTCCGCACTTAGCATACATGTCCACAAGTGAAGTTCCAACGAAGGGATCACCCGTGCAATTCAACTTGAGGGCATTAGCATGAATTTGGCGCCCCTGTTCTAGTGCTGTCAAACAAGAGCTTGCTTTCGCAAGTGTGGCTATCGTAAATTCATCAGGCAACACTCCCATGAGCCTCATCTGGCTATAAACATGAAAAGCTCGCTCTTCTTCTCCATTTTCTATGCATCCTGATATCATTGTCGTCCAAGCAACATCGTCTGGGGCAGGAATGCTATTGAAAGCAAAATGTGCTGCCCTCATATCGCCACATTTTACGTACATATCCAAAACTCCACTGCTAACCCATAGATCTAAGTCATATCCAGATTTGACTGCATAAGCATGGGCTTGCTTTCCCTGATTTATCGCAAGCAAGGAACCACATGTCTTGAGCACTGTTGCGAGCGTGAAATCATCGGATCTCTCTCCCTGTTTATGCATCAACGCGAAGAGCTTCAGAGTCTTGTGACCGTCATGACTTTGGGTATAACCAGACATCATGGCATTCCAAGCCACGGGGTCGAAACTGTTCCTCTCAAACAAAACCTCTGCCTCTTCCATACACTTGTTCCGAGAGTAGGCATCTATCAGAGCAGTAGATACATAACTGTCAGCAACATTGTTGAATTTAATTGCATGAACATGAACTTGTTTAATCAACGACAAGCTTTCAGGAAGAGAAGAAGTTGCCTTTAAAACACTCGTCACAGTATACTGGTCTGGCGTGAGGCCGCAACGTAACAGCTGCATAAACAAAGACACTGCTTCCACTTGTAGGCCACTTTGAGCAAACCCGTCGATAATTGAATTCCACGAAATCAAATCTCGTTCACTCATACTGTGAAACACTGTCCTGGCAAAACCGATTTTTCTCAGTTTACAGTACATGTTTATTACACTATTCGCAACGGCGAGCATCAAATCAAATCCTAACTTCAGTGTCATACAATGAACTTGCTTCCCTAATGCTAAACTATCTAACCTAACAGATGTAGCCAACACTAAAATAAATGTGACTTCATCACATTCCAAGTTGGACTCAACCATATCCGCGAAACATTGGAGAAGAGTTGAATACTGGCTTGCCTTGAGACATTTAGTCAACTTTTGGTTCTTGGATCTTATTTCTGAAGCATCATTACCATTTGCAAAGGAATTCACTTGTCCTCCTTTAGAGTCAATGTCATCACCAGAAATTCTAGCGAGCAAACGCAAGGTGATTTCGTTGGGATGCAAGCCACTTCTATGAAATGCAGAAGAGAGTTCGACTGCTTCTCCATCAAATCCATTATCCAGATAAGCTTGCAACATCAAGTTCCATAAAACCACATCTCTGTAAGGCATCTCTTCGAACAAAACCCTACCTTCCTTAACCTTACCAAACTTCAGATAAATATTAACAAGAGCTCCGGCAACAAATTCATCATTATCCAAACCGATCTTGCAAGCATACCCATGAACTGACTCTGAAGCCCACACATATCCAGAATGCAGACAGAGTTTTAACAGTGGAGCCAGAGTCATTCGACTGGTGAACACAACGCTCTGGCGTAAAATTCTGAAAAGAAGAAAAGCTTCTTCAATGTTCTCGACAACCCCTTCGGAAGACTGGGCATAAGCAGCTAAAATCGAGTTCCAGGAAACAAGATCCCTTTCAGGCATTTTATCGAACACTCGGCGAGCATAAGTGAGTGATCCACACTTTGAGTACATAGAAATGAGATTGTTGACCAGGAATCGTTCTGGGGTTGTCTCTAAGGCTAGGATGCGTGCGTGCGTACATTTTCCGAGAGTCAAGTCCGACGTGGAGATGGCATCGCGAAGAAAGCCGAACCATTGTGACGAAGAAGAGGAAGATGAAAACGACGCCGAAGAAATAAGGTGCAGAGGAGAGAGATAAGGAAAAGAGACGAGACAGTGAAGCTTGGGAGATCTGTGAAAGGAGAAAGGGATCGCTTTGAGGGTTGCTTGCATTATCGGTTAAAAATGTAGCCTTTTAAAGTTGAGGGGTGTAACCTTGCGAACCAAGAAACTCATGGGTGGGAACTTAAAATACACACCCAAGTTGGTTATTGATTTCTTACGTTACTTAAAGCTTTTTACTAAAATGTAGTGTTTTTCAATCTGCAATGAAGACTTTTTTATCACGATGGTTTATAAGCCGGTTAACTCTGTTTTCCGGTTTAGTTAGTATCTTATTATACATGTAAAATATGGTTTTTCAATTAATAAATTGATATATTGGCTCAACTTTTGTTGTTTTGACTTTTGATACAAATTTGTTGTCTTGTATAGTAATGTATATTGGATGAATGGAAACAAACAACTATTAAAATACTGTCCCTTCATTTCAATTTTTTAAAATCTTTATTCAAATATTTTTTCTTTTTAAGAGATGTTCCTATACATTGAACAAAAATAATTTTACTTCAAGATGTTTCTATACATTGAATAACTTCAAATCCTTTTTTATCAAAGTCTCATAAACTCTCTTTCTCTGTGTGTGACAAGAAAGAAGGCAAGAAGGGTAGAGATATGTCGCTGTCTCATTACCTCAGCCCGACGCGCCTTCTAGAAGGCTACCTCCGCCGTTGCCTCAAGGCGGCAGGACTAACGTCGCAGACTCTTTCTATAGACTCTGAAACAACCATCCACTTCTGGGGCCCACCACCTCTACAAGACCACCGCATCGACGACGGCAGACCGGCGATGCTTCTCCTCCACGGCTTCGGCCCATCCGCCATATGGCAGTGGCGACGACAGATTCAAGAGTTCTCTCCATCCATTTTCAGGCTATATTGTCCTGATCTTGTTTTCTTCGGCGACTCCACCACTTCTTCCACCAGTCGCTCCGAGGTCTTTCAGGTATCATAAACCTCTGTATGACTGTTTTGATTCCACATGTTTCCCACTAGATAGGTAATTACCGAAATACAGTAAAGCAAAATTATTCGGATTAATATTTGACTGGATCACAATATATTAGGATCAATTGAATATTTGATAGTGCGTTTAAAACCGGATCACAAAACGGACGAGATCATCTTCAGGACGATCGGATTATGAACTAGTAGAAAACCTTTTGAATTATGTCATTGATCGGTTTTATGTTCTGGTCACGTTAAAAGTGTTGTTATCATATAATAAATCTCGAAATAGAAGTCATGATTATAATTTACGTACATTATGTTTTCTTAACAGATATAAATAAATATTTACTTTATTCTACATATACATTTTCTTTCCAACATGTATATTGTAACCATTATTAAATTGCTGATTAATATATCTAATATAAATATACGCTAAACGGGTGACATAAGTTGATCCAAACCGGATTTTCGTCTCTTTTGATATCTAAAAGATTTGAACTCTTTTTGCTATGTGTATCTTAATAATAATTAGGCGGAGTGTATGGCAAAGCTAATGGAGAAAATAGGAATAGAGAAGTTCAATGTAGCTGGAACAAGCTACGGTGGATTTGTGGCGTACCACATGGCAAAAACGTGGCCGGAGAAAGTGGAGAAAGTTGTGATTGCAAGCTCCGGCGTCAACATGAGAAAGTGTGACGGTGAAAGTTTATTGCAAAGATCGAACAGTGAGTGCATTGAGAAAGTCATGTTACCATCAACTGCCACAGAGCTTCGGACACTTATGGGTTTGGCATCTTCTTCGAGGATGGCTCGTATATTTCCTGATGCTCTCTGGAACGACGTCATTAGTGTAAGTAACTAAGTATTGTCTTCTTCTCTTATTTCTTTTTGGATGGTAGTAAAAAGAAATGGGAAAATTATGAATTTCCCATGTACTATAATTTTAGTGTTCATAAACTAGGAATCACGGATTGTTATACTGCTGATCACAATGAGAATCATTGAAATAGATCAAACTATTTTCTAGCTGGTGTTTAAAACTAATTGGTCAAATGTTTTGTATTTTTTTTTTGTAGAATTTATACCAAAAGAATAGAAAAGAGAAAATAGAATTATTGAAGGGGGTGACTATCGGCAAAAACGAGAAATTAAACATCGATCCTCTGTATCAGGTACGTCTTTTTTTCTTTCTCTTAAACGTAATGGTTTTTTTTTTTTTGTAGTCACACAAAACTGTCTGTCTTTAATGTGGGCACTTAACTACTCTTAGGAGGTAATGATAGTATGGGGAGACAAAGATCAAATATTTCCTGTGAAGATGGCTTACGAACTAAAAGGGTAAGTACAATTATATCTTGTTCAAAGTTTTAACGTACACAAAATGAATTGCTGTTACATATCAATATTCTTACGCGTATTATTCAAATGCTATAATATGGGTCGTATATTAATGTAGGATTCTTGGAGACAAAACGAAACTGGAAATCATTGAGAACACTTCTCACGTTCCCCAGGTTGAATGTGCCCAGGAGTTCAACAACATCGTTTTGAGATTTTTGAAGGGCTCTTAACAACGGCAATTATATATTTGCTACATGATTCTCAAGCTTGTTTATTTTCAAACATTTTCATCTTTCATGTAATAACTTCAAATACTGTTTCACCTAATATGGAATTATTGTCCGTCATGACTGAAGTGGTTGGAAAGTAAGTATGATTTGGTCACCAATAAAATGACAAAATTAGGAAGTTCAAAGTTGGTGGTTTCCCGAATCGGTCACGGGTTGATGTCAATATAGTTTGCTGGCAGTTGAGTCCATTCAACTCTGGATGAATAATAATAACATTCGGGATGTCAATATTTACAAAGATGTTCTACCATTTACAGTCCAAAAGAAAATCTGACAAAGTCACAACTACAACTTTTTCGCCTTTGATGTATAGTACATTTCTACAATAACCAAAAGTCTAAAAGCTTCCATTGTTCATTCTCTTAAAGAGGAATTTGCAATACCCAATGATTTTTCTAACTCACAGTGATGCATAATCAAGCTCATATGCATCAAATGATCTGCTTTGGGACTGAAGCTGTGGATGGTTTCTTCACAAGGGACTGTGCACATGTATACTCTGATACAAATTTTGGTGGTTCTATTTCTGATGGATCTAAAACTGGAATAGCCTTGTCTATATCTTCTGCAGAGAAAGGAATGCTGCACACACACAAAAACGAGACATTAATATATTAAGGTAGAAAACTTGAATTACGTCTGAGTTATGCGAGATAAACTTGATTAATGACAAACTTTCTGCTCTCATCCAAACCCTAGAAATGTCAAAACGCTTTTTCAATCTACAAGAATTCTCAGAACTCTACCTGCATAACCTAAAACTTTTAGCCTTGGTCACGTTTGTGTTACTACCAATATTCTATCCATGTATAACTAAACTTGAGAACCGAATAGCTGAAATATTTCATTTAATAACACAGACCAAAAACGTAAGAGAATAATACCTCATATCATCATCCAGCAAGAACGAATTGGATGTTAGTTTTTGGCTATCTTTGTCAACAAGTACCCTCATTTGAGAAACCACCTACGGCACAAAGATATGTGTAAAGGTGTTTCAATATACATTCAACCAAATTAAACGCCCGGGATTAATTAAGAGTTTTAGGCATTAACTCACATCACTTGAGACGCTTTGAGTTCCATATTTATCATCCCAGTACATCGTACTTATTCGATATATTTGCCTTATTGTCAATGCCTATAACCCAATAAAATAGTGCTGAGTTTTCGTGAGATTTCAAAAGTGCTTACGGCCAGGAATCAGAAGGAAGAAAAAAAAAAAGGAAGCCAAACAAAGTATTAACGTACCGGGCATAGGTCCTGCCTGATTTCATCCAGTGACTTTTTTCTTTTCTGGTGTATGACCTAGGACGAAATTAAAAATTGCATGAAAACAAACTAATTAAATGCAAGTTCCACTCCAAAAAGAAACTAAACCTTTTTATCAGAAAAGAAGATGAGTTTTACCAAGAATCCAACAGCTTGTCTAATGTAATTTAACTCGTGCCAAGATGTTCCTGAAAACTGCATTTACAAAATTTTAGATCACAGATAGCATTCATCTATGAAGCAACTAACGAATATATAGCATGGTGCACCTCCTCCTTGACACTGGCTATCCACTTCTCCAGCTCTGAAATCCCAGATTTCACATATTCCCCATTCGAAAATGTACAACATTCACGTCGAAGGAGAAGACTGAAAAGGAATTCGTTTTAATGCAGAAAACAAATGTAATTTGCGGTAAGCGATAAAGTAAAGAACTGAAATTAAGATCACATCTACCTGTTGAAAAGCGATAGGTTGATAAATGAGAAAACCTGAGTCACAAGTTTCCGAATGAAGAACGAGGGTACCTACCAATACAATAGTCAGGTTAGAAGAAAAAAAGAACAATGTAGATATTCTAAAAGCTCAAGGAGCATGGTACATGAGCATTCTAATTCCTAATCCACGTATGTGGAGAAACGGGAAAATAACAACAAAGTAATTACTAGGTCTTAAGACAATAATTTAGACCAGTACAATCGACAAAAACTTAGAAGAGTTTCTTCATGGCGGAAAAAAACATCATATGAAGCAGCGCGAGTAAAAGCAGATATTATAATTGAAACTATGGGATATGTGCATACATGATTTTCGCGTAGGCGGGACATAAGAGAATCCAAGAATTTAAGTATATTTTCCCATTGACTACTCGGTGATTGCTGCGGCACACCACCTGGTGATCTAGAGGATTTTCCAGAAGTCCCTCGTGAAGCTTTGGGCGCCTTGAGAATCATTAAAGAAACAATTGAAAAGTTATAACATATTTCCACCAAATTTTCTGTATTTTTAATCTAAAGAGATGCAATCTCTACTAGAACACAAAATTTATAACGCTAACATAACCAAATTGCTATTTTTTTTGGAACAAACGGTACCTCAGAATTTCTGTCACATGAAAAATATAATACTGTATTCAAGTTGATAGTACATAGTATCAAGTTGCATACCAAAAACCACAACTACAATGACGAATACCAAATGGCGTCTAAAGTCCCAGTAACTGGGTACTCTGATGCATTTTAAAGAACTAAGATTATGGTATCCAATCAATAATTTGGAAAAGTAATATCAAAGATAAACAAAATATCTACCTACTTTCGGACTCTCACCTGAATGCATAGTCCAAGAAGCGGTGATAATTCTTTCTTCAAATTATCACGAATTAGACCATAAATCTTCTCCACACATGCTGTCAGCTGCTGCTTAAATAATATTGCAGGGTATCTTGCTTCTATATGTGAAGCACCATCGTCGGGTCCATGAAGTTTAAAAGGAGACTTAAGTCCCTAATACGCAAGAAACAGAACATCAGTTTACACGGAGAACAATTCATAACAAGGTAACAAGGTGCTTCTGAATCTCAATGAACAATAGACAATGAGAATTTTAATTTAGCTATTTCAATCCCATATAAAGAATTGTGCAAACTACTCTCCAGTGGAGATATCAATTGCACTCACATATGCAGCCCTCCCAGAACGCTGAGCACTAGCATTTATAAAACTATTCGACCGGAGATTTCTCTGCAAGAGGCATAGAAGTGCTGAAGAGTTTGAAAGCCAATACGGTAATACACTGTTCTCATCTCCACCCTGAAACAAATATATAAACCACAGAAGAAAATAATTAAATGAAAGAGTTCCTATCAATTTGTCTAAGGTAAAAAATTTGGAAGAAACTTCTTACAAGATCCCTTCAACAAAAGGGAGATCAAGAGGGTAAAGTTTAATTGCAACGATAATCACCTTAAGTGCTTCATTAATTCCCTCGATAATGATGTTAAATATGGCTGTGCTCTCAGATTCAAAGGCGTGCCAGTGCAGAAGGCATTTGTATATTACACAAGCAGCAAGTGGCTTATCATCATCGAATCCCAAATTTTCCTTTATGCATCTGGAGAGCAATTCGTAGTTCTCCTGCATTATAGTGGTAACTTAAGTCAAAATCCAGTATCTACTTTAGCCAACAACTACATGAGCAGAAAGCAAGACAGAATATGATATAATACAAACATACTGATTCAAACATGTTACTATCAGCTCAGGAAAGCAAGTCTCTTCATTCACAGTAAATCAATTGACAGTTTAAAGAAAATGGCAGTGAATGTGTACCAGGTTTCTTTCTGCAGTGAATTTGGATCGACGTGACTCTGACAAGCTATGTGAAAAAGGCATGATGTGCTTCGAAGGTGTGGGTGTCTCCTGTACATAATAATGGCATACGTAGTACTCAATTTCAAGCATTTACAAACTAGAAATAAAAAGAAAAAGATAGAGGTAATGAAACAAATGAAGAAAAGAAGTAGTATTTACTTACAAAAACAGACCTCTTGTCATTCTGGGCTGGTACAACAGCACTAGAGTGTTTCTGTTGATGAGACGGTAATAATGAGCAGTTGGTAAAAAGTAAAGACCAAAGAAAACTGGATGGCAATTAATTAACAAGCATAGGTGGTGGAATGCGTGGTTCAAAAAAATAAGATATCCCGCAATTTCACATCGTGCATGCATATTTCAAAAAAGTGCAGCAGAGCATAGTCAAAGATTACATACTTCCCCAAGTGTCTGTCCTATTCTCGCTGGGGATATACTTAATGTCTTCTGCCTCAAGACATGGTTCTCGTTCTCCAGGTGAGAGAGTTTCTCCTCGAGACTGAATGAAAACAACTCAAAGAAAAAATAAAGACACATGTTAGACACAAACCTACGGTTGAGAGAACAAACACGAAACACCTGCAACTACAAACCTTTGAACACTCGTCTGGAGTTCAGAACATTTTTTTTCAGCTTCTGTCAACTTCTGTAGTGTGTTATTGCAATCGGTTTTAGCATTGAGAAGCTCCTTCTCCAGAGCCTGATTCTTCTTTTCCAAGGAATTCATCGAATTCTGTCATTAAAAAAGCGTTAGCAAAAACCCATGAACAACCAAGACGATAGAACTTGGGTCTCTAAGCAAAGAGTGAAAGCATTGTTAATAAGATACCAATAAACGACATACTAAGTCTAAGACCATGACAGAACAAGTTCTTAAGTAAGGCCTGCGACTTCGGTTCGGTAACTAATAAGAAAAATCAATGATGGAGAACCGATCCCTTAAAAAGGTATCCAAGACCATGACAGAACAAGCTCTTAACATGCATTCAATATAAAGAAGAGGAAAATTACCTTCAACGAAGTGTTATCTTTTTCCAGTACAAACATTCCATTAAGTTCTCTTTCAACAGCAGCCTTCTCCTTCATGGATATGTCTAGTTGCTTTTGAAGTACTGCATTCTTATTGCACTCATTAATGGTAGCCAGCCTAGCTGCATCTAGTTTGAGGCTGAAGGATTCCAATGTTTTCTGAAGCTTGGATATTTCACCTGACTTGGCCTCCTCACCACTCGTCTGTATTTACACCACTTTGTAGTTATTTACTCTGTTTCAGGAGATCAGTACAATATGAATGACAAGATTGGCAACATACTCGCAATCGTTTCTCCAGCTGCAACCGCCATTCAAGATCTTCTAACCGCTTCTCAAGTTTAGTTTTAGCTAATCGCAAAGCACCTGCTTCATTAGCGGCCTGCAAGACATCGATTTGCATGTTCATTTTTGAGTGGTATGTGGCGAATTGATATAATCCTGCTCTAGACCTTAACTAAAACATACCTGTTTAAGTTTTCTAAACTCTCTCTTTGCAAGCTTCTGCCGCCAACAACACTGAATAGCAATAATAGATGATTGACGGTGCCTGAATGCTGAACGGAACTTATGCATTCTCCAACGAGCCTAAGTGATTTATAATACACAATATCCAACCACATGAAAATGCATTAGAGACTGAAATGATGAGTGATGATAAACACATCAGGAAACTAGATAAATACATAGTAATGAAAACTTAATAACACAAAAAAGTGTAACACATAATTTATCATACGAACTTGGAGATCCTAGGTACCTGAATGAGAGAAGCAGCTCTCTGTTCTTTCTCATGTGCAAACTTTACACGAGCTGAGTCAGCACGGATGCAAGACTGTACTACTAAGGCAGCCGATACAAGTTTCAAAAATGCACATCTTGACAGCCACCTGCGCGCATACTTTTGTACCAAAACTGCTGCCGCTGCATTCCTTCTGGTGGCATAAGCATTTCGAGACAGGCATCCTTGCCAACAAATATTATTATTATTAGGCTTAGAAATAAAACAGATATAAGAAAAAAGAAAAAAACATGTACAAATTAATAATATACTAGTAACAACGATTTCCATGCAAGATACATGTGAAATTGAGTAGGTTGTTACATATCTGAAAAAATTTCAAAATGACCACAAATTTTAAATGCAAGAGAACTGCACATGTACGAAGAAATAACAAGAATAATAGTGAATGAGAAAGAAACCTCTACAGTATGCTTGAATAGAAATTGCAGAAGCCCGCGTAGAGATGAAGTTCTGATGCGTAACAAATGTTCTCAGTCTTCGCTGAATGAGTCTTGCAGAAGCATCAAGAACTTCAGCCCGCCTAGAGTCCAAAATGCCAATTTGACCAGCTCTAAGGAACACTTTTGTCCTTCCTAGCTGTGAAAGACGATTCAAATATCAGCAAACCAATTAACGTATCGAACAGGGTGCCATGCATTAGAGAAAATCCTTTGGTTTTTAGGCCACCAGGAAGCATACCTGATAATTCCCAAGTCCTAATTTCCTCAAGATTTTCTCGGTCAGTGCCTGCTCATCATTGCTGCACAATGTATGTATTCAATGCAGGATACAAGAAATTAGAAACATAAATGAAATCCAGCTCCAGGGTATTCGTCATGTCTAGCCGAAAGCTATAAATAATGATTAAGTTCTATTGATACGCCATCTATTTATTTTTTTTCAATCAAGCAGTCACAGAAATATGCCAAATCAGTTTTACACAGGTGCACAAGGACAAATATAGGATAATTAATACTCTGACAATAATCTTAGAATCATCCATCAAATATACGTACCTCTCATCCATGAATTCTGGGGCTAGCAGACCAAACCGATCCACAAAGTCTGAATAATTCCTTCGTGTAGGATACCCTGCAAGACTAATCCGAACAGCTTCCAGAACACCCTATCCAATTGTGAGACACAAGACATCATCAAAGTTAAAATACCAAACAATGTAAAAGGAAGAAAGTGCACAAACATGAAAATACTACTACAACCAGCTGAGAATAAGTCAGATCCCTTCAACTTGTCAGATCACTTCAACAATGGCCTTTAGAAGAAAGCTAATGTTCATTGCAAATTACATCAACAAAATTCAAAACGATGTTATAGATGGCCAAAACCAAAGAGAGCACGAAAATGAAGTCTCTAGCCTATCATGGCACGGGAAAACATATGCATTCTGTGACAATAAAAGATATAATCATGCTAAAAATGCTTGACACACTTCATTTACATCAAAGAAAAGTACGATGGAGACACCAAACTACCTAGAGAAAAAACCCTGAAGATTTCTCTCATTATAAATAGACCATAACTACCAAGGAAAACGTGAAAATGAGCTAAGATCATATATTCCACTTACCCCACAACGCAGTTGATGTAAAACACTAAGATTCTCAAATTTTTGAGGTCTGTTGAATGAGTTTGGCTTCACACAACGAACATAGTGAGGTTCCGTTTTGCTGAGAGTTTCCATGAGGGCTTGAAGTTGTTGCTAAAATCAAAAGTTAATAATCAAATCAATGATCGTTTTCACAACTGATAGTTCCTGATATACACAACTTTCATAACAGAGTATCTTGCAAATTAAAAAGTAAATAGCTGGACAATTTCCTGACCTTAAATCTGGAAGATACAGAAGAAAATTTGTAAGAAGACCTGGTAGACTCCTCCGGAGCTGATGGAAAAAGTCCAGCAACAAAAGGGCATTTGGAGGAAGACAACAGATTGCAGTGCTCCACTATAGTATAATCACGGTTTTTATCCAAAAAGGTTTCAGTCTGGTAAGTAACCTGCAGAAATGAAATGGGACAAACTCGTTGAGATTTGAAGGAAACAAAATAACATTAAGCTTTGTCCTAGATCAAGACTTGCCTTGCCAGCATAATGAGAGAGAGTAAAGTCTGTCTCTGAAAATTTTGCCTTCTCCAATCTCGGATGAAATTTACAGTTCTGGAACAGCTTCATTGAAAATGACTCATGAGTTGATCTAGGAAACATGCTGCATAAAAGCAAACAAAGATAAGTCAGCGCACAAAGAGACATACGTATTGTGGAGACACAAGATGAGACGGGAACACTGTACCAAGCTTCATCCAAGAGTGCAATTACCCCAATAGGTTTCTGCAGGTAGCAAAAATATTAATAGTAGAATCAGAGGAAGATAGATCAATTTTGTTGTCATGTCTGCTTGATTTTACGAAAACAAAGAAAACAAAAAAAAGGAACACAATGGTTGAGGCTGGCAACTACAACAGAAAGTTTGAAAAGAAACTTTGGTATAAATTTCACTATACCAGCATGCAACAAAAACTACTAACCAAAAAAAGGAATGTCCTTTCACTAAGTTGTTGTATTCCTGCAGTTATAGACTGGATCCTTTATCATCCATATTCTATGATGGAAAAATAAGGGCATCTTATTAAACTTAAGACGTGTGGGGAATATATTGGCTACGTTAATCAGGCTAAGGCATGCGACAGTACAATGTGACATCAATGATGTGGTTACTTCTCTTAGACCATGCTGACACAGTTGAGCAATAACAAAGAACGAGACTAGAATAACACTGAACCACACTAGCTCTTTTAGAATTGACACGATTCAACAAATATACAGTTTATAGGGCGTTGAACTCGATTTCTCAACAATTTGAGTAAAATAATAGCAAATAAATAAGGACATGAGAATTTGAAACTATGTAATATAACCGAAATTATGATCAAAATAATAATTTCTCAACAATTTGAGTAAAATAATAGCAAATAAATAAGGACATGAGAATTTGAAACTATGTAATATAACCGAAATTATGATCAAAATCCATCACTGAAGGTGACAAAAAAAGAAACCCCTTATTGAAGTTTCGATACAACATCAAGGTTGCAAGTTCAGAGATCACAAAAGGTTAAGGGGCAAGAAATTAGAACAGAGTGTTAAATATTAATCTAACTGAAACACGGCGAAACGTATCAACGTACCTTTTCTATAAGGTCCAAGACATCCTGGTTGTCAATAAACTCGATATAACTCCAATTAATCTCTTCTTTTCTGTACTCATCCTGCTCCATCTTGAATACATGCTGAAAACAGAGCAGATATCATAAGGAGAGGAAGCAATGTCCCAAAATCTGGCTTAACCTTTGAAAAAGAGTCATCTAAATTACCTCATTGAAATGTTGCTGAAGCTTTTCATTTGCAAAATTGATGCAAAATTGTTCAAAACTGCAGAGTGCAAACAAGTATTGGTTTTAATTTTCGTTTTTCGACATTGATTGGGTAAACAATATACCAAGCCGTCAGAAATGCACCAGCCCAGATAAAGTTTACACAGCTCACAGCTAAACATGGAATACCAATAAAACTAGCAATGAATAAGGCTGGGAAAGGAAAACAGATCAAGGCTAACCTGTTACTCTTAAAGCATTCAAAGCCATAAATGTCCAGGACTCCTATTTGAAAACGGGAGTTTGGGTCTTGCCCAACAGACCTATTAATCTTATCAACCAACCTGACAGAAGCATAAAACGAAAGTTTCAGACACAAGTGTAATACATTAATTAATATCCATTGAATGAAGGGATGAGGCAAGTAAAAGCAAACCAGTCAAACAGACGGGCGTAAACAGTCTTCGCGAGTGCATCCCGGCTAGTAACAGCAGCATTACAGTCAAGTGCTTTGATTATGGTACCTTCACGGGTCAGAATTGAACGTGTGCAGAGTGAAGCCAGCAAAAGATTTGCATCACACCTGATTAATTTTGCAGATAACAACAAAATAAACAAGCTATTTTTTCGTACGCCTAGTTAAAAATTAAGTACTATCTGAAAATTCCATGTACTTGAAAAGATCAGCAGCCATCTGCAGATGAATTCTAGATTCCCGATCCTTTACTACTGAAGAGTCGTGCTCCTTTCCTGCGGAAAACTCAACATTTCCAAGATGCAGAATCGCAGCAAGCGTGCGGAATATCCCTTCCTGATTCATGATTGGTGCAAGAAACAATGACTATCAAAAACTGACGGAAGAAAACTATATGAAAATTCAATTAGAAGTCAAAACACCTGCTCGTCGTGACTTATGCCCACAATATCCATAGCCCTCCTTGTATTCTTATACTCTTCCGCGTTGCTTACTCCCTCCAGTTCATAGGTCTTGCTTTGATTTAGATAATGAAATTGACGTGGATTGCTTAGTTTATATTTTTCAGCGTCCTATACAAAACAAATACATTAACTCATTAGCAATCTGCATAGGTAATTGACACCATCAGCCAAAGAAAAATCTGGAATAGCTCAGTTGGATAACAAGAAAACCGAAGCCAATATCCTACGAGGCGTAAAAAGAGCAGGAAAAAGAATTACATTCCCGGAAGCGCACAGCTGATAAAAACAATGGTAGTTCCTCTCAGGGTCTGTTATCCGGACTACACGTGATCTCTCCAGAAGGTAGGTTCTGATTGCAGCACCGGATATTCTACCATTTGCGTCAAATTGGATTTCGACAAACTTGCCAAAACGGCTGAATAAACCAAAATTCAGTAGTTTGGTCAGTAAATCCGTCATGTTTAGGAATCTTAAAATGTAATTGAGAGAGGCTAGGGCAACACACACGATAACTGCAGCTAATAGACGATACTTCAAATAAGATTTAAATATCAAAACATCTAGAATCCATTATGCATTCAATGTTTGCCAAATAAGATTCAAAAATCATTATCATTAATTACTAGTGTTCTATACATGCGAAATGAACAAAAGAAAAATAAGAGCTAGTTCCTCCCGGTAGCAGTAAGATTGTTATCATACTTCATGTAAAAGGACTATTTTATCTAAAAAAATAAACCCATAATGCATTTCACAATGGAACAAGGGGTTGTAAAGTCTTAATGGAAAAACTTGTTCACTAGACCATTTATCTGAAGTAGAACTACTACCATATTTCAAGTAAACAAGTAAAAGGTTTACTAAACCCACCAGAGTTTACGATTTCAATTTTGTACAAGGGGTACTGACATCATAAAGTGCCATTACCACTTGTATCTAACAGCCCCAAATAATTTAAACGTGATGGGTATCCACAAATGCTCCTATGTGTGCTAATCACTTATGATGATAAAAATGACATAAGAGCAATTAAAGAAACACACCTGGAATTGTCATTTCTAACTGTTTTCGCATTACCAAATGCTTCCAAGAGAGGATTTGACTGCAGAAAAAGGATACTTATATTAAAACACTCGCAAACGAAGAAAGTCAAATATAATCGCCTTAAACTTTATCTGAACACAGATACCAGAGGAGACAAAGTAAAAGGCATCTTTCCAATTCTTGATTCTAATCGAACAAGATAAAAGAGATACAAATTGTGTAAGCAAAATCTTACTTCAAGGACTTGCTGCTCAACACTTCTATTATCTTCAGCTGCACGTCCCCCAACAAATGTAAGATACTGCATGATTAGTTTTGTTGTCTCAGTTTTTCCAGCTCCACTTTCACCGCTGACGAGTATAGACTGGCTTCGACTGTCGTCAATCATCGCTCTAGATCATAAAGCATAACTGCGGTTAATATATTAACATGACAGATAGTAACAGGTAAGAATGTCAGCACAAGTACGGAAAAAAAGGTGGACCACCTGTATGCAACTTCTGAAACTGCAAAAACATGAGGACTGAGCTCACCGAATGGTGCTCCCTTGTACTGCTCCATCATGTAACTATTGTAGAGATGTGGAAGCTTTTTAAATGGATTAACAGCGATCAGAATGCTTCCAGTATATGTCTGCAAAGGAAATAGAGTGTGTCGTAAGAAGATACTGCAGTCAGAACCGATTTACCATTGGAACGGTGAAAAATACTGACAGTAAAGAATGGCAACAAGCCAGCAAGAATGACATTGGAGTTATTACCACAAAGAGTTCTAACAAAGTAGTATCATCTTAAAAGGGACATAAATAAATAAGGCACCAAGCTGCTACCAAAATATTACAAAGGGCAAGCCAGCATTCACATGAAGGGAATCTAGCTGAGTGCTAAACCATATGGAACATAATTACTTTCGCCAACTATATCCGGAAACGAAACTCTCCTTCTATAGACGGAATATTCAGCCTATATATTTCACAGGACAGGCTCACAAACTGCTAAAAATTGCCACGGTTATACAAGATTGATTCTCTAGTCAAGAATAATGCTTATATTGGACACTTAAGTTAGGGTATGATCACGAGGATATTTCTAGTGCAATTGGATACCAAATAAGCAATTTTTTCAAGTGTATGCCTGACTGCCTGTATATATTTTTTGACACAGTTTATTCAACTCAAGATCAATATTTTCAGCTAGATAATAAAATAGATCACAATTCTAAGTCAAAATCAAGAGGAACCCATCACATAGACATAGCCTAAAATTAAAATAAGCAACCGGATATGTGCCCTAGTGTGCAATTTTGCATTACCAAAGGTGGCATTTGATCGATAAAGCATAAACACAGAAACGGTAACGCATATCAGATAGTGTTCAAAATGGATTTTCAAATTACACAGAGACCTCAATTACATGGATCATTCAAGTACTGAAACTGGAGAGTCAGGTCAGTTTTACTAAACATTTCCACAGAGAAGAGACCTAAATGCATACTTCAAAGCTAAATCTTAAGTCTTAACGGCAACCACAGTATCGTAGGCGAAAATGGAACATAGTTGTGGTTATATGGGCGAAAACCAAAAAAAAAAAACTGAACCTACTTAGACCACAAATGGTTACCCAAGAAACTCCAAAAGCAATTATAATTCGTTCAAGATCAAAGCTTCGACCACTGAGTACACTGACATTACGACGGAGGGAGTATAAAGTCCATATGGAATGAAATCCGACTCAATATAGTACCCCAGGCAGTATAATAACTAAAACTCAAGCAGCAATTATACTCACGCAGACGTCTCCATAAACAATACAACAAAAAATAGTGAAATTAACTCACATATATATCATTCAGAGCGTATCTCCTCTGTAGATTGTAAAGCACACCAGCCTCGTGCAAGTATGTCAGCTTGGTCATATCATCCACTCCATTATGCTCCTCATCGTCGGGATCCCTCCGAAAGAGCTTTTCCGGGGAGACTAAAACCTAAACCCCCCCAAAAAAGCGGCACAAGAGCCAACAAATAAGGTGAAGAGAGCGCGAAGAAGAAGAGACAAAACAGAAATCATCCAGCAGAAGAAAAAAAACGGTGAATCAAACCTTCTTCCCTGTAGCAGTTTGAACTTGGACCTTCTTATCCAAAGAATCGAGCACATCACCGGCAATCCAAGCCAAATCCTTATCCTCCACCCAAACCTTGTCGCCCTTCCGCAGATTCAATTCCATTGGGAGACAATTTCTCATGAACTCGGGATGAGCTCAACGAGAAAACCCTAGAGAATTAAATTCAAGAGGCATAGAGAGAGACTCCGCCAGGTTGCGCCAGAGAATTTTTCAAATTTCAAATGAACATGAAACCCTAAAGGAGATTTTAGAGATAGAGAGAGAGGGGAGAAGGGGAGGGGCGGTAATTACTACTGTACAGTTTTATTTTGTTGAAGTCAAACCGCAAGCGAAAAAAGTACCAAAGCGACAAAATAAAATAAAATTTACTTCCCGCCTTCTTGGACTGAATACAAAGATTAAGAAAACTAAACAAAAAAAAACATATTTCTCGATAAACAATTACGAATTCTTCAATTTCTTGAGTAAATGCATACGCAGAAAATATCAAATTAATTTTCTTTCAATTGAAATAATAGGGTTTAATCTGTGGTACAGGCGGAATTAATTTCAACAATTAGCCATTTATAGCACTAATAGTAAAGTAAGCTACAGTAATAAACTTACTGATGGTAAATTATGTTGTTTTCAGCAATTTTGGGTGATTTTGTTGTACTGATCATGCTTTTTATTGTAGCACCGTGTTATCTTGCTTACCATACAAACAAAAATCATCCAAAACGGTAGGCTATAAAACATGTTTAACTCGAGACTAGTGTTAGGTCATTACCCATTCATCGGCTAACCTACGCAGAGTTTATATATCACTCTTGAATACTAACCATGATTTGCTCTTTTTATTGCATTCACGCCCAACGAAGAGCTATCAGAGTTGTGGTCTTGAATCCTATTCATATAAAGAGGGATCAAACTATCAAAACATGCACACCCTATTAAAAAGGTATTTATGTTTCTTGAACTTAATTGGAGAACAAAAGAGTGAGTATCGTGATTTTAAGTTGTGTGAGCTTAGAAATCGTGTCCGAAAAATTAGGCTCTGTTTTAAAATTGTCATTAGATGATTAGATGAAACTTGTGAGTTTACTTGAAGAACTGAAACGATATGTACCAAGTCGTTTTTTTTTTTTTTTTAATCTCCTTTTTTCTTCCTATTTTTCTATTTTCCCTAGAAGTGTGGTAATTTCTTCACTTAATTTTTACCAATTTTAATTTTGAAACTCAATCTAATCATTTGGTCGATTTCTTTTTCCAACATGAGATATTTATCATCTGTTTTTTTTTTGTAAAACTATTCTTCTCCTTTTTTAGCATTTTTTCCCCTAGATTTGTAAGATTCATTTTCATTTGTTGCCCATAACCAGATATCCTTTTATGTATTCCTTACTATCTACAAAAAAATCTCTTATTATTTTTCCTATAACAAAAGATTGTGTAACTGTAATTTTCTATTCTATCTGAAGTTTATGTAATTGTTTTTAACTTCCTCTTCTTAATGTCTAACTATATTTTTTATCTTTTGGTTCTTACCACCGTTGGCAATTTCCCAAAATTTGTTTTCCTTTTCTTATATATCTATTATTAATTTATTTATCCCTGTTATGATTTCTAATAATTCTTAAGAAATTATGTGGTGTTTCAGGCTTTTCAGCTTTGCTCTATCATGAGAAAATTATATTTTAGCTCTGTTTGAGCTTTGAACGAATGTCACACTTCGACTGCATATCATCTCCACACGCCGAGCTAGACACACTACTCTGGGCAATATAATACATAAAATCGGTCTCTTTGACTACTCTCAATTTCGCATCAGTTCTCTCAATTGTTTGGTTAATTTTTTAACCTTTCACTAGAAAAACTGCAAGAGATTCCGTAAAAGTGAAGACATTAGTACTAACCCACAAACAGTTTACCACACGGAATGTGGATCAATGGCTAAAAGGACATCTTGAGACCAAATTGATTAGGCAAAAAGAAGATTATAATTAGCTCTGTTATTTTTTTTAACGCTGCGTCAGCGTCAGCGGTAAGACAAATACAAAGGAAATCCAATAAAGATGACGCCGGTGGTGATGGATGAAGACGCAGCGGCAACAGATAACAGCATGCGCGTTGATTCAACTTGACGCCAGAAAATCTAAGCGTCACCAGCAACTCTATTTTCAGACGCGACGTCTCTTTTTCTGGATTTCTGGGAAGCTTTCGATTTACCACATGTTAATTTTAAAGTTTTTGAAGCTTAGATTTTTGGTCGCTGCAGCAGACGCAGCTCTTGATAAAAAGAACAGGGCTTAACAGTAGCAACAATATGATATACCAAAGACAAAAAAGAGTATTTATGTTGTTACGTTTGTGTCATCACACAAGCAGACTAAGAAGGCCACAGTACACGCTCCAGAGGCCTATAAGCACTACTGAAACTCGAGACTCGGACCCATTTACATCCAAAACAACACACCACACAACACACAACATTTGTATAATCTGCAGAAAAAGTTGTATATAATCAAACATTCGGCGCAAAAGTCTAATCTTGCAAAAGATTAGGACTGCTGAAGACGCGCTTCAAACTTGGGCATACTGTTCGGAACCTTGCCATGCTCACCGATGATATCTGTTAATCACCAAGACAGTTATCAAAATTTGAAGTCTCTTATGAATCCATGGATTATTTGCTAAACTGTGATATCGAAGTAAGCACTCGCTATTATTACCTTTGGACAGAAACGGAGATCCAGTGTCTCTAGTGAGCTGCATCCCGATATAGCTGCTTCGACTCCTGCTTCATCCATGTTACAAGACTACCAAAGACAAAGGTGGCAAAGTGTGTTTAGTGATAACAGATGAACAGATATCTATCTTCAACACATATAATGCCCAGCTTTATAAAAACCTAAGCAATGAAAACATGAAAGGTGGCAAAAACATACCTGAAGAAAGAGACTAGCCAATCTTGGACAGCCCAGTTTCAATACTTCCAGAGAGCAACAGTTGCTAGAAAATTCATTTTGATTCGAAATAGAATCAGCAATAGAACCAACCATTTGTTTGATGGAAGATAAATAAAATAAGTGAAATAACCAACGCGAAAACCTCATACCTTAGGTTAAGTAAGACCAGGTTGGAACAAGCGAGATCAACCTCCTTCAAATTGACCGACAACGAAAGGTTGAGTGATGACAAATGGTAAAAGCGAGCTGCAGATGGTATCGACACTTTTCTGATATTGGGGCAACCCACACAGTTGAGGTTTTGCAGTAACCGGTTGGCTGGTTCTTGAGTATTCTCACTAGCACTGTAGACACCAAAGTAATCAAATAGCTGCACACTGGCTGAACCCCAGTCAAGGTCATGCATGTTAACACAGCCGTTCAAGCTCAAATGGGTCAAGTGTGTGCAGCATGCAAGTAGATCATCTATAGCGGTCTGACAGAGAGTTCCATAAGACAGGTCCAACTCCTCAAGTGCCGGTAAAGCACCTTCTTTGTATAGAGGCTCCAGTGATGAGTCAGTGAGATATTTGCAGGCTTGTAATTTTAGCACCTAAACAATGAAAGTGTCAAAGCAAGCCCAAAAGAATAAGGATGTGATAGGAATAAACATAAAATGACTGATAAACAAAGACTGCACACAACATAACTCAAGAAGCTACAGAAAGGGAAAGCATCCAGCATCATACAAATGCCTTAATTACCTTAAGCTGAATACAGGACTTGAAGACGGGTTCCAAATTCATCAAGAAAGTGTATGATAAATCAAGAACAGTCAGATTTTGCAGTCCATTCAAGGAAGACAAGCCATCAGAGCCGATAGAAGGGCATGACATTAGCACCAGTGACTCAATTAGTGGGCAAGAAGCAGTGGTTGCAGACAGACAGTCATCTCTCAGTTGACTGGAAAGGTAAGGGGGAAAAAATTGATTAGCAGCACCATAAAAAACCAGTCACGAAAATGGAAACTAACAAACAAAAAAAGGTATTACCTGCAGAAAGACGCATCTAAAGATGTCAATAGAGGGCACATAATAGATGCTTCAGACAGTACACCGCAACCTTTCAACTCAAGAGACACCATATAAGGTGCTTCAATGTTGAGCACACTCAGTTTCGGACATATTCCTAGATTCAGAGATCGGAGCGCGACCTATTCACAACCAGAAGGGAGAAGCAAGAAATTTTATCAGTTAAGGATAAGTTGGTTATTCGATATGAGAGAGATAACACTAACCGGCAGGAAGAATGCAGTTTCAAGATGATCACATCCATCCAAACAGATCTGCTCTATGCGAGGGCACTTCAACTCAAGAGAAGTAACAGCACGACAACCAACAAGGGAAAGACTTGCTAATGATGAATTGCAGAACCGCACTGCTGTTAAGCTCTAGAAGGCGATTAAAAAAAATATTAAAATCAGATAAGCAACCATTTTAATAAATTATTTCACTATAAATGTCATTCTGATAGCTGTAGACAAAAAAAACAGGAAGAAACTGTATCACACCTCACAGTTGTCGAGAATTAATGACTTCAGCATTGGGCATCCACCATCATCACTAAATATTTCACAAACAGTGTTCGACAATGATTCACAATCCGAGAGATCCACTTCTTGCAATGAGTGGCATTGCAGAACTAATGTTGTCAAATTCTCCTGTTTCTGGAGAGCCAATCGCTGCAACCAAAATGCAAAAATATCAGGTAAATTAGATCAAAAATTCCAACCAGTTAGAACTGCAGTAAAAAAAAAAAACCACGATAATGAAGTTCATACTCGAAGGGAGTTGGAAGTGATTGTGATACGGCGCAGCGCTGGACAGTTTGAAACAGTGATTGATGAAAGCATTGTGCTTTGCAAGTTCAGATCTGTGAATCTGTTAAACACAGCGAAAAAGGACACTTGAGTGAAATAATAGCAAAGCATAAAAAAGACATGAATAATACTCATCACAATACAATCTGCAGGTGTTCAGCAAAATAAAGATGAGGACTATACTTGCGGCAATGGACTAGACTTATACTCTGCAGACGCGAGAGATGCAAAGATACAGATGTCAACAGATTGCAATTATCAAGCTCCAAAACCTGCAATGATGATATGTGGTTAATCCAACTGGAAAAAATTGGTCTCTATTTAAAGATTGTAAAACAATGTTCAAATGTATGGAAAAAACCAAAAAGCAATCACAGACCTCTAGTGCAGGACTATTAGCAATCCAAGTCATAGACGCGGATGTTATACCCTCACAGCTATGAAGCTTGAGAACTGTCAACATGGGAAGATGTACCGACTTCAAAGAGGAAAAGGGCGCAAAAGTCAGAAAAACGAGAAGGAGATAACAAAAGGGTGAAGAAAAGAAGCATCAGATAACAGGACCAACCTCAAGAGATATATTGGGGCAGTATGAAGCATTAAGAAGATGGAGATTAGCACAAGCCTGTGCTATTTCACGCAAAGTTTCATCACTGACACAGGAACAGTTAGAAACGTCTAGCGACTCTAATTGAGGACAGGAAGTGGCTGCTGAACGGATAGCAGCATCCAAGAGCTTATGGCACGAGGCTATATCAAGAAGTTGGAGGAGTGGACAGTTAAGTATCGCCTGCGACATGTTGCTTCTTTTCAACGATAAAGACCTGAGCTGCGGGCACCTACAAGATCGAAAAAAATAATGAAATACACATAAACGAATGAGAATGAAAATAATTTCATTGGAAAACAACTTCACCTGATAGACAAACGCATAACGCGGCATTTTGTAATTTTAAGCTCACGTAGCCGATCATGACTCAGGTGTATTTCCTGAGCACCATTTCCCAGAATGGCCTCACTTACAGTCACATTCCTTAACATACTACACTCCCCCAATGCCTGGAAAAGATTTTCACTGATATGACCTTTTCCTACAGTTAAGACCTCAAGATTCCTGAAACAGATGAAAAGCATTATGATGGATAATATAATAACAGCTTTAATTTATGGAGCCATGTTCGAGGCTAAACAAGACAGATACCTCAAAGTAGTAGCTGCTTTCATAGCCAGAGCGTTAACAGTAGTCGTGCCATAAACATTCACTTCAGTGGCATTAGGATAGCGAAGACACATGTCTTCAACTGCACATAAGGCAACCAAAGGTTAGATTTTACCCTATGATCATCAATGTCTAACCAATATGGATTAGTAACACAGCGCCTTGAAATATATAAAACGGAAGAGCTTACATTGTTCGACAGAAATCCTCATGTTTTCAAAGTTCAAGACCTTCCAAAAATCCTCATGAGCACTAGCTACTCTCCATTGCCGACAGACCATAGCAGAGCGACAGAGGCCGACATGATCCAAGAACGAGAATACCTGATGGAAAAAAAAAAATTACAAAAATTTAAAAACAAAGAAAAAGGATGATGATACCTACGTATTAATCTTAATAAAATGCCAAAAAAAAGCATACTACCATGTGTAAGAGGTCATCAGTCAAATCAATATGAACTTCAAAATCTTCTGCGTCTGAAGAACCATTGTCATCACCATCTTCTTTTTTCCCATCTTTCCGACTATAATTCAAGATGAAATTCTGGCAGAACATATCAGTATCCGTCCGAGAAGAAGAGGCAACGCCAAAACTGAGAGTTCTCTCTACCGACGAACAAGAATTTCCAGCTTCTGAGGATATCCCGGAAGCAGCAGATCGGCACTCACTGCAAAATTGAATTTCAGCATCAGAATTACATGAATCGAACAAAACAAATGAGGGTCAGAAGGATTCATGTCAAGTAAAAGAAAGAGGAGTAAAGAGAGCTCACGCGAGGCCAGAGTACACTTTGGCACGCTTGTGGTGCGAATCGTGATCGGCTTCCTCCATGGTACTATCCTCAGCTACAGCAGCCGCCGCCGCCACCGCATTGCTACTCTCTCCCTGCACCAACTGATGCAAGCGAATCTCAGATGACCATAAGCGCTCCAATTCATCCCCAGCGGCTTCGCCGTTCTCCTCCGTCGCCAGCATCTCCTCACACATCGTCCAACGTTCGTGCTCTGAGAGAATTCCACCGTCCGCGACGCCTAATTCCCTCTCGTTTTCACCGAAACCGATGAAATCGCCGTCTTCGCTGTTGTTATCCATGGCCGTTGCTGACGATTGATTCAGTCTACCGGAAACTCCGCCGCCGTTTTCTTCTCCGTCGCCGTCGGTGAAGCAATGAAAACACCAAATCCTCATGCAACCCACCAACCTCCCTTCCCCTGGGTCTCGATCTACCGCATTTATTGAATCTTGATCAGAAAGGAAACCAGAATTCGGGTTGGGGTTTGAAAGTGACCGAATTCGGAAAGCACAGGAAGAATTCAGAGAAAGCAGAATCGAATCTCCAATTGTGGGATGCAGAAAGATGAGAAAAACGCTAATCTGATTAAGATTAGGGTTTGAGAAAAAAGAAAGAGAGAAACGGAAAGGTAAAATCGGATCAGATCTTGGCAAGAGAGAGTAGGAGGCGAATTCTGTAGAGAGAGGGGCTTTGAACAAGTGTGGTGGTGGTCGTTGGTGAAAAATCCGGCGATTCGGAAGAGAAAATAAACGGCGAAAATGGAAAGGAAATGACGAAAATTAAAAAGACAAAAACAAATCGGGAAAAACACAGCTCTCGTTTGCAAGTCTTTGGTTCCTTGCTGAATCACCCGTTCTTTTGGTCAGGAAGGAGACATTTCGAAACGATGTCGTTCAACGATAATTACTGTACTCTCGAGTCTAGGATTTAACAATTGATTTAAATTTTGTACGATGAATGAAGTTTTGATTAGACACAAAAACATATACTATATGTTTGGGTCAAACTGACATTGTCCAAACGAAGACGAAACGATAGTGTCACGTGCGCGCAGCAAGAACAAAAACTGTAACGAAGACCGAAAGTCGGTTGGGTAGCTCGAGCCACGCACGCAGTAGTATCTTGTAGGTACAAATAAGTCAGTCAGCATTGTATAGTACATACCTGCAAGACTTTTCCAAGTCTTGTTCTAAAGTTTAAAGCTCGGCCACTGGAGTGGACCTCGTACAAAACATTACTATCAAAGTACTATAGTACTACACATCATCAGTCAGTTAATTATTTACCAATTTACTAATGAACTAAAATAAATGGTACCGAAAGTAAAATTTGGCTCAAGAAGATTTATTGAGTTTATTTTATTTAATTTCTCTTTAGTTATTGCATATTTTTTCCCTTGTTTGTATTATTCCTCTTTATATTAGTCATTAATCAAAGTTTCGTTTCTAAGATTGTACGTTTATATATCAGTTTAATAGGAATTAAACATGCATGATTTCAGTGGTTCCCATGATTTAGACAAGTTGACAACTTATTATCTCTTTTGTGCATACCTCCTTTTGATGTTGTTGGTCTTTTGCTTTTATCAAGGCTTCTACAAATTAAGATTTTTGATACCATATTAGTTTCTACGTTTTTATAGGCATCTCACTTACTACTAATCAGTGATACAAAAATAACACAAAGACCAAACACTACGTATACAAGCGTTTCATGATTTCATCTTGTATTTTTTTTTTTTTTTTTTTTTTCGTAATATCTAGGGATTTTTTAGGAACAGAGAGCAACCCACATTAAATTTGGGCTTGCTTTCTTAATGGCCCAATGGCAATTTCTTCTTTTTGAATCATCTACAATATTGACTTTTCTTCCTCATTTTTCGATCCTTTTATACGAGTGATGATGATCACGAGGTTTCCCTACTTTTATCTTTCTCTCATCAATTCTGATTTTGATTTTTATGGTTTTCGTGCAAATCAAACAAAAGATGAAATTATATGGTTGCAAAATAATTAACGCGTTAATCAAAACATTTAGTCAACTTAGTGCCTTATTGCCGTTTAAGGGTGTCTCTAGCTTATCCTCCTTACTAGACCATCCATCTACGCTATCTATATAACATTTACGCCGAACCTCGCCATGTAATGGTACAATCACGTACCAGTTTATTGTACAGAGCCTAGTACATTCTACCATTTAAAATCTCTCATTTATAGTATGGAATAAATTATACTATAGAAGAAAAGACATAGTACATCGCAATATTGTGGAAGTATCATCTTTATTTCATTTTAATTATTGATGTTTTGCTTTCCCAATACAAGAGTATGATTTGTTTCTTTCTACTACAATGAATGATTTGATTAATGTGTTTATCGTTTATTTGTAATGACTAATAACTCGGTGCCAGATGGAATTAATATATGATTGATCATTGATACGACGGTGGAAATGTGAAACCGCTGCAGAGTACAGACGGTGTTTTAGTGCTACTATACGACCGAATCTGAGAATGTAAAGGAGGTATGGGACGGTTGAGTTATAATTAAGAGATGTCATAAATATTCTTGAAAACAAAAGAAAATATCAACGATGAAGGAACGACTTGTTTGATGGGATAATGAAGTTAAGTCCCAATTAAAAATTTAAGTAGACAGACAGGTGGGTGAAAATTTAATGCCTTCCTTCTTTTATAGGTTCCACTGACTCAGAAGAGCTTCAACGTCACCAGAACCTCAATCCATCCATCTTTTTTTTTTTTATATATAAATTAGAAGTAGAAATCAAGGCATTAATTAAAAAAAAAAAATGTCATGGTGGCAAGGTTTCTTGATCTTCTTGATGCTGAGTTTGTGTGTGTCATCGGAAGACAGCATGCAATACGATTACTTGAAGGTTCCGGCAAGTGAGTTTGTGAGCTCCATAAACACAATAGTGGAAGTCATAAGACAAGTAAGTTCGATTTTGTCTCCGTTTGCGGAATTCAGTGGAGATCGTCGCCTGCAGAATGCGGTTTCGGATTGCATGGATCTGCTCGATTTTTCTTCAGAGGAGCTGAGTTGGTCTGCTTCCGCTTCTGAGAATCCACATGGTGCGTAGCTTAAACCTTAATTACCATCATACATATTTACTCTTTGGTTTTAATCTCACGAACCTTATAGCTAGTGTTGGAAGTTTTTCTTAACTCTGATCACAAGGTCAAAATAGTTTTTCTTCTTTTGACCAGCAAATGATAATTGATAAAGTTAAACAAAAATCGATTATTAGAATGAAATTCGAAAAGAACAAATTGGATCATTTGCAAAAAAAAATGGAAATAGATTTTTGCCGGTCGTTTAGTTGTAATAAATCGAATAAGCTGAAGTTTGTTATAGCTATTGTATGCTTTAGCAATATTCCGTTTACTTGGCTTAACTTAATGTTTTTTTTTGGTTATATCCGATTAGAAGAGAACAATCGATTGTTTTGGCCATCAAAATTATTCAAACGTTGTGAATTTGATAAATTTGGTATAATGACAACCAAAGTTTTAGTCGAAATTAATGTTTAATTAAGTGGCTGATTCATTAGTTTAGATGCTGGGTCTGGTTGCGCAAGATTATTCTTTTTGTTTTAATTTTCTCAAAGTTTGTTTTGATAATGAAACAAAATGGAGTATTTATTTCACGACAAAATATGAGGCTAAGTGAGAGTTTCACTTGCCTATCTTGTGGACCGGTGCTGCTAGATTAATGCCTTTATGTCTAGTATAGTTTAATTTATGTACTCTTTATCCGTTAGACGACACCCAAATATCTGATTAGTTCCTAAACAATCTTTTCAACATTACACATCATCATACACAAAATAGGTAAAGGAGGGACCCAATTAATGCTCATATATGTGACGTAAAATACCGTAATGGAATGTTAGTCTTTTAGATTATAGACGTATAAAAAACAGCAATAACTATACTAATGTAAAACAACACACCTGTACAACTATACTGGTTTTCGAGTTTGACTATATCTAGTTAAATTTTCCACGGCTCCAATAAATTACGATGATGTACCATAGAATACATTATCGTTCATGGTGTTAAATGGTAAAATATTGTAAGACATTCTATGCACATAGTTCAACTGAAATGGGCTGAATGAGAAAGTTTATTGTTTTCTAAAAAAAGAGAAAAATATTTTTGCACTTGCTGCATTAAATTTGAAAGCCGGCACGGAATTGAATGCGAAAACGGTTGTTTGGTGGTTCTTTGACCATCCTTGTATGTAGTATTATTATTATATTCAACTAATACAAGTTTGAAAGGTCTTCATATCCTGTTTCTATAATTAAAACCCTAGGAAAAAAACGAGATAACCTTTAAATATATGTAAACACATGTCAAGTGACGATGATGATGTTACGTCAACTTTGTGCATTTTGGTTTGATGAAATGAAAGCAAAATCTATAATCATTCGTAAATGGCATGTGCGTAGTGGGGACAGAGAACGTGGAATTCAAAATCTTAGATATCGCATGATAAATGTTACTAAATGTGAATGAAAATGATATTGTAAGAATAAAATTACGAGTAGTATTAATTAAAGAAGAACATGTGTGATGACTGACTTTTGAGTGGGGGGGACAAGCAGGGAAGGGAAACGGAACAGGGAACGTGGGATCAGACACAAAGACATGGTTAAGTGCTGCTCTCTCCAACCAAGATACTTGCATGGAAGGCTTCGATGGTACCTCTGGTCTCGTCAAAACCCTTGTCGCTGGTAATTAAAATATATCTTTTTTAATGAATTTGGTTTATTCGTTCCATTAAACAAAATTCGGATTCGGTTTTATTTACTGTTATGAATTATTACAATATATCTGGTTTTGATCTTAGGTGGTTGATGAATTTTAGTTTGGTTGAATTTTTTTAACTTTGTCTGGTTTTCAGGCAGTCTTGATCAACTATATTCTATGCTTAGGGATCTGTTACCACTTGTTCAACCCGAGCAGAAACCCAAGCCCATTTCTAAACCTGGCCCAATTGCTAAAGGACCAAGGGCCCCACCAGGCCGGACACTCAGAACCACCGACGACGACGAAAGCCGTCGATTCCCTGACTGGGTCAGATCGAACGATCGGAAACTGTTAGAAACAAACGGGCTGAGTTACGACGTAAGCGTAGCACTGGACGGGACTGGCAACTTCACCACGATAATGGACGCCATAAAGGAAGCTCCTGATTACAGCTCGAAACGTTACGTTATATACATTAAAAAAGGTTTATATTTGGAGAATGTTGAGATCAAGAAGAAGAAATGGAACCTCGTAATGTTAGGTGATGGCATTGACTTGACCGTTATTTCCGGTAACCGCAGCTTTGGCGACGGTTGGACCACATTCCGATCCGCTACATTCGGTAATTAACGTTTAATAAGATACATTGTTAATAATACTCATATAAGAATTAATGGTGATATATATACATGTTTCAGCTGTAAGCGGAAGAGGGTTCTTAGCGAGAGATATAACGTTCCAGAACACGGCGGGACCAGAGAAGCATCAGGCCGTAGCACTGAGGTCGGACTCTGACCTCTCGGTGTTTTTCAGATGCGCGATGAGAGGTTATCAAGATACACTTTACACGCACACAATGCGCCAGTTCTACCGCGAGTGCACCATCACTGGAACGGTAGATTTTATATTTGGGGATGGGACCGTTGTGTTTCAAAACTGTCAAATTTTGGCTAGAAGAGGACTCCCTAACCAAAAGAACACTATCACTGCACAAGGCCGCAAAGATCCTAACCAACCCTCAGGTACATAATGAGCTTAAGCCTTAAAGTTACAAAATTACAATTAGTCCTTAACTATACAAATACAGTATAATGATTCTCACTGGACCTTATTTTGCTCACATTCAGGATTCTCGATTCAGTTCAGCAATATCTCGGCGGACGCAGACTTAGTAGCATACCAAAACACGACACACACGTATCTAGGAAGGCCATGGAAGGAGTACTCAAGGACAGTTTTCATAAGGAACAACATGAGCGACGTTGTGAGACCCGAAGGATGGCTCGAGTGGAACGCCGAGTTTGCTTTGGACACACTCTTCTACGGAGAGTTCATGAACTACGGGCCTGGTTCTGGACTCAGCACCCGAGTCAAATGGCCTGGTTACCACGTGTTTAACAACTCGGGCCAGGCTTACAACTTCACCGTTTCTGAGTTCATTAAAGGAAATCTTTGGCTGCCTTCTACGGGGGTAGCGTTTACTGATGGCTTGGGCATCTAAAGTGTTAATTTGTATTGTGAATCCTTTTTTTCTTTTTTTTTATTCAGTTTCTGTTTTCATTTTAATTTTGTGTTTTCTGATATTGTTCTCTTAAGTTGGCGTATTGTGATTTTTATGGTTTTGGCAAATAGTATTACAACAAAATTATTTAGGTCATCTGTTTAAGCTGTACGACCACCAATACAAAGTTATGTTATATTTGCAGCCATTTTTATTAGTAAGAGTGAAATTCACTACGCAACGCCTTATAAAATATGACTCGTGTCAAATGTATACAAAAGATTCAATTTTTTAGCTCACCTATGTTTATGTTCTATTATCTTGTACTCCAAGCTGCACTTTCACACTACCACATTATCACTTAAAAGAGAGAGAAAAAACAAAACAAGGCATCATACTACGTGTTTCGCAAGCATCAAGGATCATAAAGACCAAACTTAACCGGAGACCCCAACTCTTGGATCCATTCCCCTTGTAAGAATGGTCCCACCGTATATTTCATGGCCTCTTCCTTGTTTATAACCCTAAATCCAGGCCATTTAACCCTAGAAGCGGTTGCTCCGCTTGGACCGTCGTTCTTGTATTCCGCGTAAAACAATGTATCGATAGCGAAATCCGTCTCTTGCCATCTCAACCAACCAACAGGATCGATCACATCCTCGATCGTTGATTCCATCACAACCGTTCGAGAATGACTTTTCCACGGCCGTCCGAGGTAGCTCTTGAACTCGGCCTTTACGGGTTTAAGATCTTCGTTTGGAGCAATCGTACAATTGTGAACCACAAAGCCTGTCGTCTGAAACTTGTCCACTCGTCCTTGAGCCGTCACCGTGTTCTTCTGACCCGGTAAGCCTTTCCTGATAAAGATGTCGCAGTTCTGAAATATGGCGGCCGCATCACCGAATATGAAGTCGATTGTTCCGATAATGACACAGCTTCTGTAGTATTGGCGGTGCGTGTACGCGTATAATGTGTGTTGGTAGCCTTCGAATCGACAGTTTAGGAAAACCGAACGATCCGATTGAACACGTATTGCGACCGCTTGGTGTCCCTCAGGCCCTGCCGTGTTCCTGAACCCCATGGACTGTGCCATGAATCCTTCTCCTTGTGCCACTATAAAGTAAATCAAGCACAACGAAGGTTTTATACAATCAGTTACATGTGTAAACGGAAGGAGAACCTGATTCTTATGTTTCTCTTTGTGTTATACGAAAATCAAAATATTTTCTTTTTAAAAATGTAAACTTTTTCCAACGGAAAGTTTAACCTAAGAAATAATATGATATTATACCAAATGTTGCTGTGAGCAATGTGCTGACTTTCTTAGCGTGGCTTTTGTTTCCCGTCACGATTGTCTTCTGCGATCCATCACCGATCATTGTAACATTAGCTTTCTTCTTATCAACAATCACAGATTCATCATAAACTCCTTGTTTGATATAAATAATGTACCTATTAACAAAAGGAAAAAGTCTACTAAGCAAATAATTTGGTGATCGATCGTAAGTGACATAAAAAATAATCAAGTCATGGTAATCCTCGGGCGCATATATTATGAGATGAGTTAGTACCTTCCTTGGTACGTAGCAGGCATTGCTTTAAGTGCATCATTAATGGTTGTGAAATTTCCGCTGCCATCTTTAGCCACTGTAGCATTAGGTTTCAAAGCATTCACATTAACAGCTTTTAACATTCGTCTCTCCTTGTTGCTTAACCAAGACGTTATATGATCTGTCTTTTTAGCAGAAGATTTTGATTCAAGAAGACGTCGCGTTTTCAGCTTTGGAGCCGAAGAAAGATACGCGTCTAAAGATTTGACAATCGCGAGAGAATTGCTTGTCAAAACTTGAGAAGAATTGAAGTTCTTACGTATCTCCGTTTTGAGTTTCCCTTCTTCAAACCCATCGACACATGTTTCTTGATAAGACATGACTGCGCTTAGCCAACTGTCTAAACCGGGAGATATTTTCGCAAAGTTATTAACCTCTGTATCGTTGATTCTTTTCACGGAGGTGCCAAGCTCTTCCTTAGCTTCGTCCACAAGCAACTTGCACTGCGCCATAGCGTCTTCATCGTCCTTGTTCTCTGTTTTAAGTTTTAAAACCTTTTCGGAAGCTTTCCCTAGATCGTCATTGACTGCTTCAATGGAAGACTTTAAAAGGCCCCGAGGATCAGACTGAGGAGTGCTTGTCTTTTTCCCGTTTTTAAGAGTTTTCTCGCAGATTGGTTTGTAAAGAGAGGAACCGCAAAGTGTTTGGATGATTTTATTGACCTGGACAGGTTTCACAGATTGTGCTGCAGAAGATGGTGGTTTCTGGCTTGGACTCTCGCCTTTATCGGAGCTTTTATCTTTAGTGTTGTTGTTTGTGGTTTTATCCTGTCCTTGAGATTTGTTTCCATACGTAACAAAAGCAAAAACACCTCCAATAATGGCAGCAGCAACAACAAGCGCAGAGACGACCCCAATGATGATTTTCTTCCTGAATTTACGTTTTCTCTCTTGGTTTACTCGTTCGTGAATCTGATCAAAGTCTTGAAAAGCCATTCTGTTTTGCTCTTTTTCTCTTTTCTAGCTAGAGGAGAAAAAATAAAGAATTAATTTTTCCTCGGCCTTAGAATCAAGCTAAGGCAGGGAGCTTAAATTGGAAGATCAATATTTCTGTGGCTTTTTTTTTTTTACTGTGTTTATTTTTGTTTCCTCTGTTTTGATTCCTTGGTTTCACTTAGGCTTCCTTTGGTATTACTTCTTCAAATCGACAAACTGGTCTGGACAGGAGAGATTTGTGGATTGATGCATTTTGTTTGTCTGATGAACCAATATTCTAATTTAAGCTTCCTATGTTAAACAATAAAATTAATGCGTTGGAAGTTATAAGTCTAAGAAAGTCCCCAAGATTCATTATCAACTTTGATCAATTCCTTTGTTTAAGTCTCTTTTAGGGTTTGCAATTTCAGACACAGCAACATCCAAGAATTAATAAATAAATATATATTAGGGAGCATTTGATATATGCAAAACGTTAATAAACAAAAGGAACGAATAAACATTGTATGTACAATTGCATCTTGCTTTTATTACTTTTGATGCAAATGCGATGGAAGAGCCATAGGCCACTTACGGCTAAGGGTGAAACATAAACAGACATCACCCAAAGACCATTCCAAGTAACAAAAAAAAAAAAAAAAAAAAAGAGCCTAGAAGAAACCATCGCTAGAGAATATATAATTGCTAACTGAATGGTGTAGATCTAGCAGAATGATTCAGGAGTTGTTACCAAAACTTTGAAGATTGTCTCTCTCTTCTTCCTCCTTCACATCTCCTGAAGAACTGTTGCTTGGCACAACCGTGGCAGGTGACCATTGGTCAGGAACCATCAGAAAATAAGCCGTCATCGCTTTCCTGAAACGTTTCTTGTATTGCTGCGGCGATATCACTGTGGGAGATGAGTTCTTCGGTCCTCCAAGTAGCCCTGAAGTCTTGACCCAAGTCTCCAGATGTTTGTCCCAAGTGTATTGCCTCATGAAATCGATGGTTCCTAGAACTAGTTCGTTTCGTTCCTCATCAACTCCGACTAGTAAGGAGTAATCCATTACATGGATCGACTTCAGCCAAAGAAACAAAGCAAGACGTCTTGGCATCAGTCACATGTAATGTCGAAGAACAAATTTGGTATTTCAAAACGGATTAAAGAAGGGAAGCAACTGGAAACTTACAGCAAGAAAGGATGTATCATTCCAGACGGCTCTTTCTAGAAGCCGTTTTGCCTTGCTCCCAACAAATATTGGAGATGTGGGCATTGCTTCGACCAGATTCTGGTCCAGCAAAACTGTATTGCTACCACTTGTATCGGGATTGTAACGGGCGCGAGTGGAGCCTTTTAGGTCATAAAGCCTAGCGAAGTTACGCTTGAACAGAAGATTCTCCATCACCAAGACATCCATTTTGAACTCTCTTCCTCCTTTAAGGTGTTTGGATGAGACCTTTAAATATTTTAGCAACGACAAATCGCGGTTTAAATCAAACACAGCATTTTCAATAATCATTTAGCTCAGAGAGATTACTGATAAACTAAGAGAGATGCATTATAATCTTTAATTTTATTTGTATTTTTGGTACCTGATAGATTCCCAAGATCTTTGCAAGGCTTGTAGGGCTTTTAGTACAGATAGATTCAGTCAGATATTTGAAGTAAGCTGGCCCAAATTTGATGAAGGACTCAAGTTCTGTCTTCGTAACTTGTTTGATGATAAAACGGTCATCCAAGGTTTTTGCAAAAAAGACGTTGCTCTTTCCACCCTGGGCTCCCCATTTTCTACATCGACCAAGAGATCTTATGAAATCAGTTTCTGAAGGACAGCAAATCTTCCTCAGGGCTTCAAATTCCTTCGCATAATAACACGTCACAGAGTACTTCACTTTCCCAGGAGGACCTTCATCAGTAAACGAGACTCTAGCATGCAGATCTTTCAAATACAAGGATGAATGTAGCAGCTGTGAGACTTGTTCATCAGCAGAGCTAAGGCTTCTACTCATGTCAACTGATAAATCGCTCAAAGAGTTCAATGATAGAAGATTCACAGAATCAAAAAGTGAAAATGATCCTCCACTATCCAAGCGATCTCTTGCCTTATCTGATCCAGACATCTGGGCGTTATATTCTGATGATGTAAGGGCATAAGCTATGATACTAGTAGGTTCGTCGTCATATACTGGCAGTACCAACTCATTGATTCCCAGAGGAAGCAGCAGCCTTGCACCACTTCGCCATTCAAGCTCTCTATATGAAGAAACATAAACAGGCCGGTCTTCAGCCATAATATGCTTGCGAGAATTGAGCGAATAATTCTTGTTGAGTGAATAGTAAAAACTAGGAGAAGGCATTTGAATTTGTATTGTATGTTCCTCATTGGTTGGACCTCCTCCAAAGCTCCTTCCACTCTCTGAATCCGACGGCCTTAAATCAGGAGTCTGAGTTTCATTTGCTGAAGCAGCTTTGCTAGGCGGACGAGAAAGACCATTCTCTGTAGCAGTTTGTACACCTATCCATGCTGCATCAAGAGTATCAGATAAGTCTGTTGCTTGGGACTGGCTCTCGGAATGTACTGTTTTAACCACCTGCGAAGGCTCCACAAAATTTTCTTTACCATCTTCAATAGATTCAAACTCCATCTTACGATCCGAGGTTGTGTTTGAGCCTACATCTTCAGGAGTAGCCCTTTTTCCGTTGGTATCAGCAAATGATTTACCCTGGTTAAGACACTTATCATACTCCGCATCTTGGGGATGAGAGTCATTACTCCTTGCAACATGGGTTGATATCGAGCTTACTTTTTCATCACTAAGCTTCTCCAAGGAGACGTCACGACCCATAAATTTTGGGGCAGAATTCCTCAGAGCTTCAGAATGGTTATTTCTTACCATACTGGCAGCCCCTGTTAGGCATTCATCCCAAGCATATGAATCGAAAAGTATCAGTCTTCGAAGTTTATTTATTAGAAGGATATCAATAGTAGGTTGTCCATCCTTAACCACACTTAACATTTGCTGCAATGATTCCTGAAAACCACCAACAGCCTTAATCAGTATTGCATATAGAGGCAACATAAAAATCATCCTACACTGTAGAAAATACTCTAGGTTTTTAATGCAGAGGTAGCTAGCGGTTCAGATGACAAACTTTAAAATCGTTCAGAAAATAAGTTTCAGATCCCTTTTTGAGCACAACCAAGCACCACACTACATGTATAACCAAGTAACAGTCTATCTACATGAAAGTGTATATATACAAATGAAGAATATGTCTTTCCCTCAATTGTACAGCATGTCGTTCTTTAGTTACGTCTTGATAATTAAATATCAATATGAATATAACACGAATGCCCACATTTAACAGCGTGTGTATATTTTATACACATATATATCGTGAGCAGTATGAGCGTGTGTGTGGGGGCTGTGTTTGAGTGTGTGTGTATGTGGGTGGGTAGGTGTTTGAGTAATGTGAATGCGCCAGGTACATGCAACACTGTTTCTTCTTAAGTCTAACGGAGTGTAAGTTGCATGACAGGCTACCTTATATTCCTTTTTACGTTGCTCAAGAAGTCCTGCAAGTTCTTCAAGAGAAAGCTTTATCTTGTTCGGAGTGCTGCCCTTGGAATTTGCACCCATTGTTTTCGCTGAAATCTGACTAAGTGCCTCCTCAACCTCATTAAAAAGGACTTCCGCTTTTTTAATCACCTAATGTATTAAAACCATGAAAAATCAGTAAAACAAGACTCCTGGCGTTGTCGAATATATACAAATATTCGTTAAAAAAATGTAAAAACTTCTAACCTCTTTTGATTCCTTTTGGAGCCATTCCTGGTTTTCATAGTTAAACTCAAGTTTTGCTGGTGGCAGAAAAACTGCAAAAATATTAATTGAAGCATAGCGGAAGCAAGCCACCATTCTCCCAAAGCTGCAGTAAGGAAAATATATGAGACAATCAGTACTTACGAATTCATGCTTGCTTAACACAAGGTTACAACCCTCAAACATTAACTGACACTTGCTATAACGATACATGGTGAGGCATGAATGAGCAGCACAGCTAATTATGCAGAGCTTATATAGACATTATATCAGACTTTGCATATTACGTACTAAGTCTGACTCATTAGCAAAAAGCAAACGAAATACGCTACTTGACAATCAGACATGTAAGACGAGAAATCAGAAACATGTAGCAAAACCAAGCGAAACAGCAGAATGGTATAAACCAAGCGAAAATATATGTGAAAGTAATTATCTAGCAGATCTATACCCATAGAAACGGAGACAGTCTCTGTGAAGTGAATGACCACAGTTGGCCACACGGCTAGCTGCTGCATGGTTAGAGAAGCTCAGCTCCAAAAATTTACCAAAAGACAGGCCCCACGCAGCATCTGACATCACAATTCTGCGTGTGGCTGGAGGAAAGCCATTGATTCGAGGACATTTCAGGCATCGATGCCACATCCAAATTTTTCCTTCGCGTTGCCCAGGTAACACTTCAGGCAGTTTCTTAACAGATATTGTCAGACTACCTTGCCTATGAGTATAACTATGAATGTGTGCTTCTGCTGGCATCGTACATGACGGGCAAGAACGATCCTAAACAAGAGAACAATGCAAGGCTCAGCTATTTATAACCAGAAGTTTATACCAACATGATAGGCTTCATACCCATTATAATGTCATTTATAAGCTTATGAAGCCTGGAATCTTTAAACCATCCAGTCTTTCTCTCTCCTAAACTAACCATCCTAACATTTTCATGGATTTATGGTTCAGTTTTTTTTTTAAAGTTAGTTCCCCAATTATCCATGCCAAAATTATAGGGTAACAAGTACATAACCATATGACATTAATTGGAGTTCAATTTCCTCACCATTGGCTAAAAGAAGTATGGCGTGTTAAGAAATAAGAGAAGAAAAAAAAAACACTACAAAAGGTACCTGATCAAAGAGATTATCCCTTAGGAATCGTCCTAAAGGCTTGTCAAAGCTTCCATAGTATTTAATACGGAGTAGATGAGCCCGCTCACACACAGATCCCTTCCACACACATCTTGTTGATAACGAAACCAATATGCTTTGATGGTCAGAAGTTGACGGAAGAAAATCTCCTTTTGAAGAGTCCATTTGTTCATGCTTACTAAAACTCTGATCTCCTATTACCGTGGATTCATTAGTGTAAGCACCATCGGTTACTTGTTCTGTGGTAGAGGGTAAAACAGACCACTGATCTTTTTGAACAGAAGCTTCTTCCATGTTAAAGGATAGCTGCCTGGGTTCTAGAGTAGGAACTAACCCATCGTCCTTAGGGGAAATAGTTTCTTGAGGCTTACAGTAAACAGTATCCATGTTGTGAAGCAGTCGTTCAGAAGGGTCAGTCCTGTCGTTTCCATCCAATTTCCCTTGAGTCTTAATAGCAGACAAATTACCAGTAACGTCGCCAATGGCTTTATGTGGCTCACCCATTGATTCAGTAGTTGGAGACTTTTCAGCAGTAAAACCAGGTATTGTGGATATTGATCTGTTAATCGTTGATGGTTTATCAGGTAAAGCCACTGTAATCGGGGTCTGCAGAGGAAGTTCTGGAAGGGAAGCACCTTCATCTGCTAGGAAAGATGTCTCAAGAGCCAAGTGATATGCTGCAAAAACTCCGTACTGAATCACATGTTTCACCCTCTTCAGTTCATCTTCATGTGCCCCCTTAAGCAGTATCTGCAAAAACAAAAACAAAAAAACAGATCAATTAGCCATATCTTTAAATTCTTTGGATCAGATATAGCGTATGCATAGTCATATTAGTAGGAGCTCAAGGAACTTACTGTACAGCCCAAAGGCTTGGGGCAACCATCAAAATACATCAAAGTCTTCGCCAGTTTCTTCACACCTTGACCAGTACTAAAATGTTTCTCGATAAACTTTTCCACATGGAACAGGTCACAATAACCCAGCTTTGGTGAAGTGAGCTGGTCAATCGAAGGGACAATCTGCGCACCAGTGCAGCGGGATATGCGCTCTAGAAGGGGCCTTTTTATATTCAAAACAAGAGATATGTCCTTTGCAAGAAGATACTCCTGCGCAAACCGCGAGACAGACTTCTCCACCAAGAGAATGTCAGGATTGTGAGAGTCAATTTTGGCAACAGCCATCTTCAAATGGTCCATTTCCTGAAACACCAGAGATAGCCTTTGATAATACAGAAAAACTTTAACCGGTGATTTTCCTTTTCTTCTAATTCAAGGATTTATGTTCATCGTCACAGTGAGATATCTAGAAGAAGAAAACCGATACAGACCTGTTGCAACAATGTGTCAAAACTTGACAACTGGTTAGAGATGCGTTGATATTCCAGAGCTCCTCCAAGAATTAGCAGACGCGGCTTCTCGATCTTTGAAGTCATTCGTCGATGAGCCACATTTTTCTTACAAACAACTCCTCTCACGACCATACTAAGAAAATGACATTCCAGTCTAATCAGTACTATAGGGACTGGCAGTCAATCGACAGAGATTAAATCTCAAGAAATATTCGCAACAATATGAAGCTAACAAAAATAGCAGAACATTACGTTTTCAACAAGACTCTAAGGTAGTGAAGTTATCAATAGTAGACCACATACGTAAACTTTCGGTTCGGGGGCATAATTTCTCATTTGACTAGGGCAACGACAAATAGAAACCAATACAAATATAAGAAACGAAGCCCTCTTTGTTTTGCAATTCATAGCAAATGTTACTCCCCTATGATCCGAAAAGCAGCCATAAACAAGATATGGAGGCGAAAAAAAAATAACAAACACAAGGGATATCCTAGAAACTGTCTAGAGGTGCTAAAAATTCTTCATGCTACATGTAAAAAGTGTGAGCATCTAGATAATGATTATTGATGAAGGCCAATCCAGGACAAAATCTCTGGTAACTCCAACCTAAATGTCATTCTAGTTAATCCTAAAGGAGAATGGATAAAATTTTGCAATTGCACAGAATATCAAACCTACGGTTCAAAAGCATGAGTAATAGTTGATTTTTTTTTTGAGAAACCACAAATGTGCCAATTAAGGAGTCCCAAAAATTCACCTCTCACTGCGAAGTCCACATGGGATGCATTTAACCTTCACATATCCTCCTGGATCCATACCTCCACTTTTGCTCGTATCTGGCTTGAGGAGTGTTGCAGCCTCCCAGGACAATGATGTAATTATATCAAGCCAGCCCTCGTTATCGCCTTCGTTGACCATTGGTAGATTATCAACCTCCAAAAGTTGTGCTACTAAAGCCCTAAAATGCCCTTCAACAACATTTTTCATAGCACCACTGGACTTGTCCCTAGAGTGGAAATCCCTATCTTTAAAGCTATTTGATGGGCGAAGGTACCCCCAATCACCTCTATCACCTTCATCACCCTCATCATCAGATAACGCTGCTTCTCTTTCATCTTCTTCGTTCTCTGGCTCTGGCGGTAGCCATAAGAGCCCATCGTTCTCAAAATCAACTACTTCAGGCTCAAAGGGCTCTTCACCAGGAGGAATTACCTCCGTCACATCATTCCACCCATCTGCTTCTCTTGATTTATCTATCATCTCTGTATTCAGTGTGTCAAGATCTTGATCAGGGGGCAAGCCAATTTGGATGTTTGACTCTATGTTTACTCCAACATCATCAGCTTCATGTGACCCATAGATACGATCAACTTCATCGAGACTGATGGCACCATAGTAGTCATTTCCTTGAGAGTAGGATTGTGCATAATCAGAGTGATAATCATCATCATCATCAGCTTCACCATCACTCCTGCCACTACCAATTCCAAAAATCAGTAACTCAACACTCACGATATGACAATGTTGAATCATTTTTTAGGATCCGTATACCACACACAGTGGGTGGCGGACAATATCAGAGACAACAGATAACAGAAGCTACAAGGTAAAGGTATATACAGACAACACAAGAAAAGTTACCTGTTCACAAAGAATTCAACTGGGTTCTGAGAAGAATCTAACACACGCCCATAAGGATCTGAGCTTCGATGCGATGATGCATTCGGCTGTTCAGACTTCTCCAAATCCATGTTTGAAGAGGCGCGACGGCTAGCTCGAGGATTCGTTTTTGGTCTAGGGGAAGGCCCAGTAGTAGAATCTTCAACGGTGCAATTGCTGCTGTTGGAGGTAGTGCTTGCGACGCTTCTAGCAGAAGGAGATGAGCTAAAATGAAGGCTAATAATAGAAGCTCCGTTATCAGGCGGGACAACCCCTTGCTCCCACTGTTTGTAGCAGTAATTACAAACCCTGATTCTGTCTGATTCATCATGACTCTCCTTGGTTTCATCCGATGGAGACGGAATCGAATTCGCGGCGCATTTGGCACAAAACACTCGACCACAAAGCCGGCAGTGATGTCTTCGGTTGAATACAGTGAACTGAGCATCGCACTCATAGCACACGGGACAGCTCTGGTCAGGCATCCAGAAATCCCTCGACATGTGTGAGGACTCACTCTTTCTAGGGATCCAAGACTTGACTATATCAACGAATCCAGGAACTTTGTTATCTGGTGAGTCCATCTGCTGAATCTCCAACGAGAAGGAGAGTCATCGTGAAACACCCATCCGCTTAATCGCATTAAGTCTTCACTCTAGAGATCCCCTAAAGAGGAGTTTTGAGCCACAAAAATCATCAACAAAAAAAGAAGTTATCTGGAGATGAGAGAGAGAGAGAGAGAGGCCGATGATTCACCTGGAATTAGATACCTCCGAGATCCAGACCAAGTCACACTGGGTCACTCTCAGCTTTGGAATCCAGCTTCGAGATCATGCGATCCCTAAAATTCTGTGTTGTCTCGATTTCAAGATTTTTTTTCAAGCTCAAATTCTTCTGTGCGATTCCAGAATCAACGAAATGGGATTCGATAAACCCACGAAACGGGAAACTGTCGCTGTCACGAAACTCCGACGAATGCTAAACAACACGAGCAAGAATCAAATTTATATAACTGGGAAGAAACCAAACAAAAGAAGAAACAAAACACAGAAATTCCAGAAAACGGTTAACGAAAACCAAATACAGAAGGCGCAAATTTCTTTTATGGATAAGATTTGAAATCAATTCGAGGAAAGATAACCATAATCTCAGAGAAAAGTGCCAAGCTGAGAAAATGGAAAGGGGAAAATGATTCCTCGGTTTTCTCGGAAACCAAGCAGGGATTCGAAGAGGAGAATGAATAAAAAAGAAGAAGAAGAAGAGAGTTTCAAAATTGATTAAAATACAAAACAGAAGAAGAAGAAGATTTGAATGGTTACATAAACGAAGAATTGCAGTTTCTTCAGCTCCGTCCTTGGCTTTATTGTTCCCTGTCGTTTTGGGTTTCTCCAGTTTTTCTGTTCACGACTTGTTTGATCGTTGTTGCCTTCTCCATTATTTCACTTTTTTTCACATATATTTCATTCATTATATCCGACACGTATCTAAAAATAATTAATTAATTATATATTTCACAATAACGTATATCACATATATTAATTAAAAAAAAACCTCATTATGTCGACAATATAAAATCAAATTTTTGGTTCACCGTTGTCAAAAAAATAATAATATTGCTGTCGACTCTTTTCTTATTTTGTTTTGCCAAACGTTGTTAATTACTTATTAATGAAATTCAAAAAAAAAAATTTCCTGTATCAATTCATGCATGTGGCTCATGGTCCTTCTTTTTGTTATCAAGCATACTAAAGTCCCATTATCTTCAATTGTATCCCAAATCATGGTCCTCAGAAACATTTTTTTTTTAATAAAATAGAATATTTTAAGGCGATCATCTTACTAAGATACGAGACGCTCTCTACCTAAATATAGATAGATTTGATCTTGATCAATCAATAGAAAGATGAAGTGAAAACGGGGAGGGGAGTCAAAAAAATGTGCATGAGAAAGGAGAAAAAAGGAGCACGTGAGTTGAATTTGTTGTCAAACACGTGAGCTTTCCTAATGGATGGCTGTCAATGTTCGGATGTGATCTGGTGTAGAGAGGACAATACAATAGGTATTACTTGTATTTCCTCCACCTCATATTATGCATTGCCCTGTCCATTCCCATATTCCAAAAGACCTTTGCGGAATTTTGGAATTCAAGAAAAAACAAAAAATACTAAACCCTTAAGAAAATAAGAAGTTTTTCTTGTGAAATGGGCACAACACCAAGAGACTTGTTGGTCCATATAGAACAAACATATCGTTTTTTGGAATCCATTGAAGGTAGAAAACTAGATTTAGAGCTCAAAGAGTACAAATCTATTGCATTCCAATAAACTTATGGCAAAGTCATAGTCTTACCTTGATTTCGAAGAAAATCTCCCCAAATTACAAAGAGGAAGGCCAGTGCCAAAACCACAGTACAGGGTCTGAAATTGTGTATTGCATGAAAACCAGAGAGAGAAGGAAAATTCGCAGAGTCCTCATAAATTTGGTTCAACCAAGGATGGGGAAGATGCGAGCGATGTGTTCCAATGGAACATTCTCACCTGTGTTTTTCTTAAGCTCCGGATGGTTAAATTCAGTTTGTGGTAACACGATACTTCCATCTTCTTTCTCAACAATCCATCCACTGTTGGTCACTTGGTGCTCAACGAACTTGTCTAGTGATGCACCGTCCATGTTAACAGCCTGTGTAAAATTTTTAACATAACTGATGAGCAAATGGTCAACAGAATAGACCACCAGAGCTATGATGTGGAAAATTCGTAGAAGAAAGTTATACAAAAGTTGTTTCAAGACTTGACATCCAAAGTTATACAGTTTGATGAAAATAAGGCCAACATCATACCTCGGCAAGCACAGATCTTGGAACCTTTTGGTAGCTTAAGCTAAGAAGGTGACTTGCGTATACTTGGATAGCTTGCTCAAAACCTGCATTTAATCTCTCGCATATAAGACATCTACACAAAATCATAAAATGAACAGATAAAGGCACTACTCACGACTTTTAAGTTGGCCAGTATTTCTAGACGGTTTATATATCCTTACGTAACTAATCTAGATCCAGAAGTTTCTTATTACTAAGACGACTTATTTAAGATTCAGAAACTTGTTACCTGGAACAGCCTCGAGAATGTGACGGTTCTTGGCAGCTTCATCCCAGAACTGTTGGAACCTCCCAGTCTGTGAAAGCAAAACAGGTGTTTTAAATACTCAATATCCATCTTTTCGGCTCTCAAGTCTCAACTAACATTGATGTTTGCATACCTCAAGGTAGTGTGAGAGAACAATTAAAGCCTTGAACTGCTCCTCCATTTGCTGAAAACACAGTGTGAATCTATTAATCCTCACGAATCAAAAACGTTGACACTAAAGCTACAAGAATCCTCAGTATAAAGACTGAGCTGATTGAAATCATTCAGAGTAGCACAATAATTTGAGCACAATCTAGTTCATCTGTGAGTTATCAACGACTGGAAGAAAGATTTGAAAAACCTCTTCCTCAGAATTAGCGATGATTCAACTCATAAACGTAAGAAAGCAACTCCACAATGAATTTAGAAGGAACGAACAGTACCACTCTCTCGGGAATCAAGAAGAGGCAAAGGCTGAAGTCAGGAGTTGGCATAGCCATAAGAGCCTTCAAAAGAGAGAGAGAGAACAATATCACAGAGTAATTTATCACATGCCAATAAGTATTGTTAATCTGAAAGTGGTCTGACCATACCTTGATCAAGATACGAGCCACAATATGAGTATTCATGCGCTCAGGCTCGAACTGCATACAGGAAACAATACAAGTAAAAGGTAGGAGATACTAAAATCTTTGGACATGTATGGTCATGAACAGTCGATCTCATGATTGATGAACAGCAAGAGTACCTGATAGAGCCGAAGCAAGCATAGATTTGCATCCAGACTGTACGTTTGTGACGTAACCTGAATATCATAACGAAACCACAAAACTAATCAACTTCGCATGATGGAATGTTTCTACAGTGGAAAAGCTAATTACACATTCCAATGCCATAAAAAATTTGATAAAGACGAAGGAGAAATTTATAGAACTACTCCCAAAATCGGAATCTAGCGAAATGATTATATCAATCCCCAAAGCTTTCGGGGGGGAAATCGGAATGGAACCTGTTCGTTGACGTAGTTTTCGAGATCAGGCAAGAGTTCTGGGTTGAAGGGATTGACCGCGACGAGCTGCTCAACGGTGTAAGAACTCTGTTCCTCCGGGGACTGGATCTCTTTTCCCATCTCTCCTTCTTTCGTTTCTTAGCGCCGGTCTCTTCGAGCTCGATAGATTACTGAGGATGTGCAGAGCAGATTCGCGGCTGAGACGGATCTAGGGTTTAAGGGTAAAACGACGAAGCTTTATCCTCTGGGCTAACGAGTGAACTGACAAAATTTTAGGATTAAATTAGAATGATAGAAACGTCTAAGATATGTTAGGTAAATTATTTTCAAGGAAGCGAAACTTCTTTTTTTTTATACAGCTACAATTTAGATTATTGATTAAAACGACAGTAACTTACACAGTTACACTGATTCCTTATAGTTTCTCAGTGAGTTTATATAAAGTTTTTTATGCCTTAGTTCAATGTTTCTTCTTTTCTTTACCACATTTTTAGTGAGGAAAGTATATAGTTTCTACAGAGTATGAAAATATCTTTATCAGATTGTGATGCATCATGTATGGATTTAACTCACATAGATATACACAGAAAAAGTTTACACTTTGAAAATACACAATTTAAAAATGACTGAGCTCATAGCGATACCACTTCGGATCCACTTGATTATGGGTGTGTGGTACCACCTAATGACCTAAGGGCCGAGGTTTTTGGTCATGGCCTTCTTACTCTCGGTGCTATTTCCCCCCTAAACAGGTTGTAAACTTGTTGGATTAGATCAACTATGAATTAACTCACATGAGTTTACACATATCTTTGTTATCTTTTCTTCTCAATTTTTGTTACCACATTTGTTTAATAAGCATGTGTCAACTAAATTACTGAATCACCCGAATTATCCAAAACTTTCATATAGAAGTGAAAGAACATTATAAAGCTCATAATTTGATAAAGATAAAAACTAGAGTGGTATCATGTCTATATCGATGAAGTTATAGTTCCACATTATTCAAAGTTCCCGAACCCATTGTGCACTTTACTGATTGTATTATATAGAAAAAGCATGCCTTTACATATCTCCAGACAGAGATCCAAAATTACCTCACGCAGGAGGAGATAATCCTATAAAACCATTTATCACACAACACTAGAAATTGGCAATACAGTTCATGAAAAATGAAACCCAAAAAAGTAATAAGATAAAATAGTTTCCTTCTGTACTAAATCAGTGGCTTTCCCTTGTGGTTAGTGTTTCACAGTTTCTTCAGCGAATACGGTTCACATGAGAAAATGGCTCATGAGCTGCTTTTGGAGCAGGTTTTTTGGCAGTCTCTGGTACTCCAAAAACATTCCAGAATCTCAGAGTCTCGTCTCCTGCTGCTGAAGCTACGGTACAACCATCTGGACTCTGTAGGAAACACAGACATATAACACAAGTTTCAGAACTAAAGACTTCAAAAACTCAAAACCATTTTCAGCAGGTAAAAATAGAAGTTGATCAAGTTTTTTCTCCTCACCTGGGCCATATATAGAACTCTTGATGTATGACCATTAAGCTCAGCCATCTTCACCATAGATGGGTACTTCCACAATGTAAGCTGATTCTGAGTAAACCCGTGTGAGCTAAGCAACTCTCTTTCATTCTGGCTCCACAACAAAGAACAAACTTGGGAGCCAGTGTCTACTGAATTCAAGCAAGCTCCTGTGTGAGTGTTCCAGAACTTTATCGTCCTGTCTCCTCCACCACCACCAGTTGCAAGCAAATTCGCTTGGAAAGGGCACCAGGCAAGGGCTTTAACTGCAGATGTATGTTCCTCAAGCCTGTGCAGCCATTGTGTGGTCGAGTTTGAGGAGGCGACCGAACGATCCCATATGTGCACCACATTATCATTGCCACCACTTGCTAGTTGCTGTCCAGATCCTGACCACTTGAGCCCACAGACCTCTTGACTGTGACCACTGTATGTTTCCACAACGTGAGATCTGATCCGTACGTCGTTGTTGACGATCTGCCCATCCATTCCTCCCGTCGTCAGGATGTGATTGTTCCATGCCAATGCTCCTACTCTTGACTGGTGGCCACCTTTCAACGTTCTCAGCTGCAGAAAAACAGTACAACACATCAGGTTAAGACATAATGACAGACATGACGTTTATATCTCAAACACAAGAGTGAAGGATTTTTGTAATTACTTGACGGTTGGATGCAGAATCCCACAGTTGCACTTCGGAGTTGTTGAGCCCAACTGCAACATGACGACCATCAGGTGCCCAGTTGATACTCGTGACGGGTCCTTTCTCTTCATCGATGGTCACAAGCTCGGACGTGGAACCACTGGTCGCATCCCAGAGATAAACAGTGTGGCCCAACGCAATGGCTAGGACATTGGCACTGCCCCAGTCCAGCAAATTGAGGTAGAAGTCGT